ACCTGCTCGTTCTAGTTTCTTCCATCTTAGTTAAGGATGACTCCATTCTGCAACTGACTTAAGGTAAAACCCTCGTATTTATGCTTAACTTTTTTTTGGCACTGGGAATCAAACTTATGACCTTGAGCTTGTCAGGCAGGCGATTGTACTGCTGAGCTAAACCCCTGGCCCCATCAGCCTTCACTTCTTTCTCTCTCTTTCCATCAGCAAATTCTGTCAAGACACAGTATTGGACCACTGGTGAATACTTCTGCTGCTTCCACTGTAGGCCATGCTGACATCATCCTTACCTGCTTTACTAGGTGACCCCCTCAACGCTCTGCCTGCTTAAGCCTTCTCCCCTTCTGTCTGTTCTCCATGTGACAGCCAAGTGACCTGCAAAATCCAGGGTCAGGTCATATCACTCTTCAGCTCAAAACCCTCGTATCACCAGCGAAAGCCAAATTCCTAGGAATGTCCTACAAGGCCTTGTATAATCTCTGCCTTTTGCAGGGTAATCACCCTGTTGTCACAGTCTTTGCATTTTTAGTCTCTGTAGAGACAAGGGTTCTTTGCTCTTTTGTGTGTGTGTGCTGTAGATTTTGAGAGTCTGTGAAGCCTGTGGACTCCAAGCTTAAGATCTTTTAAACCATAAAAGAAGCTCCACAAATTACAAACGAAGCTGATTATACTGAAATACAGCTTTCGGCATACTTTAGCAATGTGCAATGTAGTAACATATATAAAAAAGTAATATATGCATGTGCTTCTTTGTTAATTCATTAAATTATTAGAGCTAGCAGCATAATTTTGAAGCAGTGATGAGTGTAATACTGTATTTTAAGGTATTTGCAACGACCGGAATGTGATATGAAATTATCTGATTTGTACTAGTAACAGTATCACAGGTGCTGCTAATATCACTAATTTGCTGTCTCTGTAATTGAAGAATATTCTATATTTTAATTAGTGAAAATAAAGTTGTAATATTTTTCTTTTGTTGAAGGTCAAGATTCCTTCGATTCTAACCATAGCCCTATGGAGGGGTGCATCTGTGGACTCCATGTTAAGAAGCCCTGGCTGCTAACACTCTCTCTTAACACACCCTCACACTCACTCACACACACACACACACACACACACACACACACACACACAGGGCCCATCCAGCTCACACCTTGAGTTTTGTTTGTTTGTTTGTTTGTTTTTTTACAGGGTCTCACTGCATTCACAAGCTGAAGCAGGAAGATCAAAAGTTCAAGGTCAGTCTGGACAACTTATTGAGACCCTATCTCAAAATAAAAACTTTTCAAAAGGGTGGATGATATAGCTCAGTGGTAGTGTAGCTGCCTAGCAGGTACTGGGTGCTGGGTTCCGTTCTCAGTACACTAAAAAAAAATTTTTTTTTCAATGAGATGTTCCCTGACTATTCTACTTAAAATTGTACCCCAACACCATGTGTCCCCCTTTTCCTATTTATCTAATTTTTCTCCATAGCACTTAATGACTGTCAAACGATACATTTTTTATCTATTTTTACATCTCCTTCCTCTAGTAAGTTTGGACAAGACCAGGCATTTGGGCCTGACCCATTGAGTTGGGTCCAGGACATCTAGAATGCTCCCTGGCATGCAGGGGACACTCAACAAATTCTCATGGGACAAAATGAATGATTATATCCCTATCAAATCCTGCAGCTCATTTCTTCGCCTGCAAAAAGTTAATGATTTGTGAGACTTTCAGTCCAGATGAAGAAGTTATAATCAGCTTTATTATGATCATTTTACTAACACTTCCAAAAGGTCAGCCTCAGACAGAGGCAGAGTGCTGAGAGGACCAGGATTCTGAAGGACCTCTGCTCCTCAACCAGAAAAGCACTTTTTCCAAGGACTCTTCACCACAGAGTCTGGGTCTCAGAGACAAAGTGCTACTCATCAAACTGTCTTTCTTGCCAAAACAGCTATCTGGTCCCCCAGCCCCAGTCAAACCAAAACAATGCTTTTTAAAAAAAATTTCTAACAGTGTGGTCAAATGGGAACCACATAGGTCTTAGAGACCTGGACACCACGGTGCCAATTCTGTCACCACTTATCAGCTTTTGGTAAGTTACTAAACTCTTCTGAACACTGTAAGACTTCTTTTAACTAGGATAAAATGGAACCCTTCACATAGAGCAGGTGCTCTTTAAATGGTCCCCCCCTTTCCATCCCTTGAGGTCATTTTATAACTGCTTGCCAAAGCACTTCCCCATTCCAGCTCAGGTCTCCTGATAGCCAGGAGGAGGGGCCAGTCCTGTCCTGCAAGGCATGTAAACCCCCCACCCCTGCAGTCAGGGCCAGTGCAAACTCTGCCTGTGTCTGTTGTCTGTGCCTCCACCTGTACCCCAGACACCTGCTGAAACTGTTGGCTGGACCTTGCCCATGAAGGCTAGCAGCTACCACGGTTTTCTCTCCTGGCCCGCCCTCCCTATGCTGGGTTGGAAGCTCTTGTATGGGTCTTAATAGAGGATAAGATACAAATCGTTTCCCCCAAGATTTCTACTGTTCAAACTTTCAGAGCACACTCGGACCCTTCCCCAAAAAACACAGAAGAGGAATGGGGCACCAGAGGAATCATAGCTCAGTGGTAAACAGCTCTTTAGCAAGCAAGGCCCTGCACTAAAAAATAAACAAATAAACAAACAAATGGGCACCCAGTAAAGCAGTCCTGTGAACTGTGCATTGAGTCAGGTCCTGCACTACACACAAGGCTCAGTCGGTACATCTGATGTATATGTGCACACCATGGCTTCTCAAGTCCAATCAGCTCACTCTAGGCCGAGGTGGGAGATCCAGAGGTGAAGTCACTGGCCCCATCACACAGCTCCTCCACTGCAAACCTGGATTAGAAGCCAAGTATTGAGCCATTGGCTTCCGCACTCCCAGCCTGCAACACCGGGGCTTGCAGGCGCTGACCTCGGCCTGGGAAAATCCTACCACTTGAGCACTGACAGCCTGAGCCTCTTCTCACTGCGAGATGATACCCGGCCCCTTCTCTTGCCAGACAAGCCTCCCTGCACTTTGTGAATGAAGGCCAAGGAAGAGAAATGTTGCAGTGCCTCCCTCTGAGCTCATATTTCTTTCTCGTTGCAAAAAGTGCTTATTTCAGCATCCATCATCTCTCTCTTTGTTGTGTAGACAATCCGCCCTGTCGGAAGATTGGAGCTGTTATTATGAATTTGTTTATTATTAGATTTATTTCTCCTCTAAGCAAATGTGTTCACAATATTCCATCGGGGAACCTTCTTAATTGTCACATAAATGTCATCTTATGTAAATTGAATATTTATCTTCCCATGGAAGGGGTGGAGGGAAAAAGAAGAATCCACAACCTTCAGTCTCCAAGAGGGAAAGGGATTCACCCACGTGCCTTCAAAGCCAAAGGTGAGTTGAAAAAAAAATCTTTGGATCATCTTAGAGGGAGCGGGGAGGAAAAGTTGGCAGCGATGCCCGGGAATGTCAGGCCAGGCTGCGGGTCTCCCCAAACCTCCATCTCAAGGCCAGCCCACTTTCCCAGCCGAAGAGGCTCGAGGTTGCCCCCCACCCTCCCCATCCAGGAGGAGGCAGCCCTTCTTCCTAGAGAGAAGGTGAGCGCGGCGGGCGCAGCGGGGTGGGTGGGTGTGGTTCGCGGCTCCGGGAACCGGCCCAAGGCCCCGCCACCGCCGGCTAGCCGCCCGACAGCCCGCCCGCCTGGCGAGCGCAGGCTCTTCTTCCAGAAACTGCGAGGATCCGAGCGCACTGTTTGTGCACCACAAGGTCAAGTCGGGAAGAGGAGCCGGAGGAGGAGGAGGAGGAGGGGCGAGGCGGCGAAGGGTGGGGAGGGGGGCGCCCCGCTTCCGCGCCAAGTGCCAGCCCTCGGAAGTTGCCCCTCGGTTTTTAACCCTTTAGGCGACGATCGAGGGGGAAGGGGTTGCCCCGGGGCAAACTCCTGCCGGAGTCAGGATCTGCAGCTGCCCACCACTCACCCACCCATCACTGCTTTCCACACCCCCCCGGAAATGCGGGGCAGCGCCGGGCGCCTGGAGGCACCCGAGATGGGGGAGGGGGCGACGAGCCCCAGAGGGACCCTCTCTACGCACCGCCCCTCTTTCCTTGAGGTCGCCCACAATTTCAACTTTCTCCCGCCCGGAAGGTTAGTTTCCATTTGGTGTGGGTGGGGGAGGAGGGCCGCGCCCCCTCCCCCAGACCCGTGCGCGCCCCTCCCCTCCGCTCGCCAGCACTTTCTGCTCACTTCTGGCACTGCAAAACGCCACGCGATTTATTCAATTCACATATTTTAAAATCAGCCATTCCGAAACAGGGCCTGGGGCGAGGGTCTTTCAGCGCCGGGGCCCCCTCTGGGGGGTAGACGGGGTGCTCAGTGCAAACCTCGTTTCCTCCGCGAGTGTCGCCTCCAGGCTGTTATTTGCAAAGAAACGTCTTTTTGACGCAGGGAGAAATGGCAAATTTTAAGTACGTCATTAATATGGCGCCAAAAGATTTTTTTAAGTATAAGCTTGCTTTTTTTTTTTCTTTAAGGTGGCGGGGGGCGCCGCCCGGGTCTGGGGTGAGAAGGGGGCGGAGTGTGAGCAGAAAGTGTGAGTGAGTGGAGGGGCGGGGTGTATGTGTGTGTGTGTGTGTATGTGTGTGTGTGTGTGTGTGTGAAGTGTGAGCAGACCTGACGGGACTTGCACGGGCGCAGCAGCCGCTCGGGCCCGGCCCTGGGGACAGGGCGGGCTGGGGGCACCCCAGAGTCCACGAGGAGTCCGGGCCCCGGGTGCAGGCGGGCCGGGGGGCCGGGCAGGGCACCCTCACCCCCACCCCGGAGCCCGCAACGCTACCTGAACTGGCGCCGGAGCCAAACAACTGGGGGGGGGGGGGCCGCCGGGGGTGTGGGGAGCAGAGATCCGAGTGAATTAGAAAAAAGTGGCTACTCCCCCTCCCTCGCGCCTCCTGCCCGCCCCCACCCCACCCCCACCCCCACACATTTTTTTTTCTAAAGAGATCACAAGGAAGTCTTGGTTTAAAAAGAAACAGAAACATACACAGGGGGTTGGTGAATGGTGCCGACCGCGGCCATCGCAGTTGGAGGCTATTTTTGTGGGGGGTGAGTAGCGTCCATGGAGTTACTTTGCGCCCACTCCTAGCGGCACCGGCTCGGCTCTGGCGAGCTGACCGTCCCCAGCAGGGGCGCGGGGCCGGGGACGCCGCAGGCCGGGCCACCTCCCTCGCCACGACCCCGGATGGATGTGCGCCCCCCGCCCTCCCTCCCGCGCCGGCCCCAGGAGCTCCTGGTTTCGGGAGCATCCTTCCCGCGCCGGCCCCCGCCGCGGCGCGTAGCCGAGGGCAGCGCCCCTCGGGAGGGCACCGCGGAGCAAGGTAAGAACCAGCCCCAGGCGGATGGGCCCTGCGCATCTCCACGGCATTATTTTGTATTTTTGCAACAGATCTGCCAGCGCTCCTAGCTCCCTCGCTCTCTCTTGCTCGCTCGCTCCCTCTCTCTCTCGCTGGCTGCCTGTTCTAGGAAGCCAGCGCGGGGGGTGGGGGATGCACAGCGCAGGGGAGAGATTGCGCATGTTGGTCAGTCGTGTTTTAAAGAGTACAGTGCGGGGAGCTTGAGAGGGGCGCAAGCAACAACTTTTGGAAGGGTGAGCCTGGCGACCTTCTTTATTAATGACTGCGGCAGAGCGCCCCTGGGCCGGCGAGGGGGCGCGGGCGGGCGGGGGCGCGCCGGGGCTGCAACTTGCCTCGCGGGCTCCGGCTGGTTAGAGGGGCTGCGGCTGGGGCAGGGTGCAGGGGGAGGTTGAGCGGCCGGGGCGGGGGCTCGCAGAACCTGGAGCTATCACCCTTCCTGTCGCCCCGAGTTTCATTTTGTTGATACGCAGCACGTCCGGGCGCCGAACCGGGCTGAGCCGGTGCACATGACCCCGCGCTGGGCTCACGTGCAGCCGGTCCGGTCCCAGACACCTTCCGGGGGCCACCGCCTCCGCTCTGCGCCCCCTCTCCGGGCTGGGTGCACGCGGGCGCTGCACGCGGGGGCAGCATGCTCGGCTCCTGGGCTCAGAGGCTCTGCACAAATTAGACACAGTTTTTTTGGAGGGGCGGGGGACACCTTTTTCAGGTGAGTGGAGGGTGCGCAGCCCCCGTACCTGGGGCGCGGGCTGCGGTCGGGGACAGCGCCCCCTCCGGGGTTGCGCGGGCAGTCCGGCGGGGGACAGGCGCTGAGAGAGTGGAAATGTACCGGCGACGGCCGGAGCGGCGGGTGTGCGCCCGCGGGGCGACGGCAGGGGGCGTGGCCCTTGTTTACCTTCTCCCAACTCTGCCGGTTCGCGTCCCGCTCCGGGGCTGGCTCTGCAGTCCCCGACCCTCCGCCTCCACCATTACACCCTGGGTGGTACAGGAAAGGTGCCGGCAAGTGGCAAACCCTACCTGGGACTCACTCACCTGACCCTCAAATGAGTGACATTGCAGCCCCCGCCCCCACCGCCGCTGCTGCAGTCCCTCTGCCGGATCCCCGGCCCCGCCCCGCCCCCGGCAGAGGCATCTTCCCGGCCTCACCTCCTCCCTGTCCCTCCCTCTTTCCCACCCACTCGCCTGCGCCTGCGGAGCGGCTCCCGTCCGCCTTCTCCCCGCCAGGGTGCAGACTTCTGGCTCCCCACGGTCCCTTCCCGCCCATCCCTCGGTTCTAAATCGTCCCCTCCTCTGGCCAAGGAATGAGAGGAGGGTCATTTTGGCGACTGGTAGCTGTTCCGCCAGAAGATGAGGATGCCTGCGAGACAGGCAGGAAGGCTTCACTCTAGCTTCCAAAGGCCCAGCCACCCCCGGCCCCGGCTCCTACTACACACCGCTGCCCGGCTTGATCGTCCCCTCCCCAGCCCTCCAGGGTTGGGGTGCCCTTCCCCGAGTCTCCGAAGCTCCTCCCCCCACCGGAGGCGTCCAGCCACCCACCTCCCGGCGCTGCCCCTGGCCGGAGCAGCCTCCTGCCCTTCCTTCTCCAGGGCCGGAGCCCCCCGCAGCTACCTCCGGCTCCTCCTCCCGGCTCCCGCGGTCGGAATCACGCCGGCGCGCCTCCAGCCTGCGGTCCCGCAGGCCGCCTCCAGGGGCAGGCTGGAGGCGCTCTCGACACTTATCCCCTCAGCCGCTGCAGCCGGCCGGGGCACTTTTTTACCAGCTTGGCCGCAGGCCTCGTGCGGGGGGCTGGAGAGGGGGAGGGGCGCCAGGTTTCTTTTTTGCCAAGGGCACATTGCAGCGGGCATTCTTGGTCTCTGCAGTTTTCCCAACCTCGGTTCTGGGCCTAGCACTGGCCGGTTGTCTTCTGTGAGATTCCGAGGCATAAACTTTGATGCAGGGACAGCGTGGGTGAGTGGGTGGGTGTGGTCATCGGGAAGGGTCAACGCTGGTAGTCAGAGCCCTCCCAGAGGGGAACAAGGAGGGACCCAGCTGGCCTCAGCTCTAAACCCAGATGAACTGTCAGGCTGCACCCTTAAGTTTAGATTTGTACCACCAGAGAGGTGGTAGGACCTCCAGTGCCCTTCTAGAGTGGCACTGACGCTTTTCACTGGTAGGATTCCTAGTAGGACATTTGGCTAAAGGACCAGACAGAGAGCTGCCAACCAGTGCTGGCCCCGTTTCCTGGGTTCCCGGGATGCTGCTTGTCCCTCTGCCCTGACTTCCTTCCTCACCTTAGGAGGGCCCTAAATAAATGCACCATCCCCTCCTGTCCCAGTCGTCCTCAGGCGGGTTGGGACTCGCCGAGCTAGAGCCGTCTACCAAGCAGAGGAGGAAAATAACAACAGAATAACTGAAAGGAGGGAAGGAATGAGTAATGAAGCTGACCCAGGCAGGAAGGAGGGCTTTCATGTTTAAGCGATGATATTTGCTTTTTAGGTCACAGGCTGCAAAAACAGGCTTTGATCCGAAGTGGGCGAATAATTTATTGAGAAAGTCTGCATGGTAGGGAAAAAAGAATGTTTGTTTGATCTGGAGCCCTCTCTGTTGTCCTGAGTGCTGTTGGCGTTGTTTGGAGTGGAAAAGCATTTGGTTCCAGGGTGAATGCTCCTCCAAGGGAAGTCCTCACCCAGGGCAGCCTCACCAGGGCAGCAGGACATAGTGTTGGTTTTGAAACTGGCCAAGGGTCTCCCCAGCACTTTTGGAGATGAAGTGTTTAAGGACAGAGCTGTTTGGGTTCTGGAGGCAGCAAATGTTTCCAGTATGTTTTCCCATCAACATGCTTTTCCTTTCCATAAATTGCTTGGCCAGAAGGCCAGCAGCACCAATCCAAGAGGCTGTCAGCTGTCTCTTCCGTTTAGCTTTCAATGACAGGTGACAGGGAAACTGCCCCGCCCGGGCCCCAGATGCACCTTGAGGTCTAGAAGTTAGGCCTTTGACACTGATTTCCACATCTTTGAGATTGTGGGCAGGATATTCTGGTTAAAACTGGGATTTCACTTAACGAAGAAGGCTATTTTCTTGTCTTCAAGGCAGAGAGATTTTTGGTCCAGATTCTTCATAACTCATGCTACAGGCTGTCTGGGGACCTCTGGATTCTTGAGGTTCTCCTGAAGGAGACCAGGATAAAGACCTGGGCAGGACACCCCTGGTTTGCTGTCCCTAACCAAGAGTCCTTACCATGTAGTTCGCAGGGCATCCAATTACCGGTACCTACGTGAAGTTTAGGAGCCTGAACAGATTGGTCCTAGGAGCTTCAGGAATTAGGAATACCCCGCCCCACCCTGGGTATTGTGGGCCTGGATATCTGTGTGCTACCCACTTAAGGGTAAAATGTCAGCCTTGTTTTGAAACCTGGCTGTTCAGTTAACTACCTGACGCAGCTCCGGACCTCAATTTCCTCACTTGCCAATGGGATTAATGACAGTCTCTACCTCACGGTGAATGTAGTGTTATATTATAATTACTAATAAGCAATATATTGCATAAACTGTGCCCAGGGCTAGTGGTGTAGCCCTTGCCTAACACAAGGCCCTGGGGTTTCCATTGCCAGCATTGCAAAGAAAGAAAGGGCAGGAGAGAAAGGGAGTGACCCAAAAGCAAGGCTGTACCAGGCCTTAATTAGTATTAACCATGTCTTACTACTGCTAGTGACCTGGGAGGACCCTGAGTGTAGTTTGTCCTTTGATGTTTCACCTTTAGACTGGGCCGGAGAGTCATTTCCTTTCTCTGGAGAAGCAATCAGATGCCAGGGGCAGTCAGATATGGGAGCGAGCCGGCCAAGCCATGGCCTTTGGAGGGAAAGAGTGGAAAGTCCTGAAGGACAAAGCCGACAGAGCTGTCATTCCCTCAGGGTCCCCTTGGTGTGACCCGGGAACCCTGGAGGCTTGGAAGGAAGGCTTGGATGTGTCTGGGAGAGCTGGGACATTTGGAGTGGCAGGCGGGCTCTGGTAGCTCCCCAGGCTTGGAGGAGAAAGTCTGAGAACTAGTGTGGAGAAATCCCGGCAGGAGCCCTCCCTCTACCCCGTGTGCACAGAATCATTTTTGTAACTGCAATTACTATCCCCGAGAAGGCATTAAAGTTAATGAGAGATAGGAAAGAGTGGGGCTCTGACCCCTGCTTCCAGCGGTTTAAAAGTGAGCAGCTCTTGTTTTCTGAGTGTCTGGCCTTCCCGACACAAGGAGGCTCTGAGGACAGGTTTTCCAGCCGAAATATCATTAAATTGTATTAGCATCTTATTACACACACGCCTTAGCGGTCTGCCTCAGACAGGGAGAGTTTTTGTTTCTCTTTGAAAGATTGTGTCTGGAATGGTAAATTGCCCTCCCCCACCCCCTTTTTGGAGGAGGACGAAATCCTGCTGTGTGTGGTGGTGGCAGGCCAGGTCTGTGGCCCCTGGAGAGGAGAGGCGGAGGCCAGGTTGGGGTGTTTAACTGCCCAGTGGATGGAGGCAGTAGCAAGCCTGAAAGGCCCACTGTTCCATGGGTCAGCTGGAAGGGCGCTAATGGAAGCTCGGGGTGTTGGGGTTTATTTGCACAGAGGTATTTACGGGGGCTGGCATTGGGCAGTGGTGTTCCAAGGCGACACTCAAGGCTCCCACTAAGACCGATGGCCTGGCTGCCAAGAAAACATCTGCCATCAAATTGGTGCCCTATTACTGAGTTGACATTGATCGCTAGCCAGGAGCTCCACCAAATAAAGTCTCATGGAAAATGTGTGAGGTCAAGACAGGGAAGGCAGGCTGTGAAAACAGGACCAAATCTTGGGCTGGGGTGTTTGCTCCTGCAGTTTGCAGGGAGGCCAACTGGGCTGTGTGGTCCCAGCACTCCCTGCTGTCCTGGGTGCAGGGGCTATGGCAGAGACGGGGAAAAACATGGTCCTTCGTGCATGCAGTGCGAAGGATATTCTACTTGTGAATGGTCTGCAGACCTTGAGTAGCAGGGGGGTAAACTCTTTTAGTTGATAAGTTGATGGGAAAGATTGATGAAGGCAAACTTGAGCCTAAACCTGAAGGACGAAAAGTCCAAAGTGTGTATACCAGGGAGAGGAACGTTACAGGCCCAGGACTTGAACTGTGGAGTCTTTGGCTTGTTTGAGGAAGTCAAAAGAGGCCAGTGTGGCTGGAAGGTGGTAAGAAAGGGGCTTGTGGTCACCGTGAACTTGTCGAAGCGAGCAGGAACCCGATTGCGTAGGGTCTTGTGGTCAGGAGCTTGAGAGTGGTCCTTTGATCAGCAGGCAGCCTTTTAAAGATGTTCGGAAGGGGCACAGAGAGACCTGATTTGTGCATCTTTGAGATTACTCTGGGGCTGGGGATGCAGCTCAGTGGTAGAGCACTTGCCTAGCGTGCGAGGAGACTCTTCCGTCTTCAGCACCACCACCACCAGCAAATAAAAAGACAGGCGACTGTGAGGAACCTGCTTTGTAGGGATGCAGTAGTGAAAGCTAGGAAAGGAAGAAGGAGCCCAGGCAAGAGATGAGATGGGCTTGGAGCGGTGTAATCAGGGAGATGGAAAACAGAGTGCGATCTGGAGGGAGGGACTGTTGAACTTGCCTGGTGGGGCAGAGCATGCGGGCAGCTCCTGCTTCCGGGGAGCACTCAGCACCCCCCAGTCCACAGGGGGCTTCTCCCTGTGTCTTCAGGCTGGGGAGGTGCAAATGGCAGGGAAAGGAGACACTGCCTTCCCTTTACAGATAGGATTTCAGGACCACTTTCTGTCCCCACACAGTGAGTGCTTGGAATGAAGAACGGATCACAGAGCTTTGGGAGGGGTTGGGGGGGCCGAGGTGAAGTGTCCCCACCTCCTTGCCCACCTGTCTTTGCTGCTTGGCCTTCTTCCTTTGGTAAAGGAGTTCCCTTTGTTGGAATGGGGTGGGAGGGTGACTTGGGGCAGAGGACCTTTTATGAGGGTGACTGGGTGCTCACTGGAGGCAGGAAGGCCTTTGCAGTGGACGGGGTTCAAAGGATAGAAGTTGCACTCACAAAACTGTAGCTTCCCTCTGAAGCCTAGTTATTATTCCAATTAAGCCACCGCCAACTCTGCTCCCTTAATAACAGCCTCCTAGGGGGCGGCCATCACCCAAGGGGTGATCCTGGCGCACTGTGGGAGACAGATCCTGAGCAAGGTGCAGGTCTGGGCATGGTGAGATGGGCATGTGTAGTGAATGAGTCCATTCCACGGCCCTCCCGTACTGTACCGTGTCACTGCCCTTTCTGCCCAAGTGTTCCCAGGTGCCACCTGGAAGGACTGTGCCCTGTAACCTGAGGCGGCCGTGGTGCTCGGTGCCAGCACCTGTGTGGAGGGCCAGCCCCAATACTCAGGGCTCCGTGCTGCTCTCGCTGAGACTCGCTGGCTGATTCTGGCCCGTGAATGTGTTTAGTTTGGCCTTTTCAAAGTGTTTGAAAAACTCTGACTCAGTTGCCAGTACTTTTAAATTCAGGAGGTTGATATAAAACTCCAGATCCAGCTTACCTCCTGGGAGGAGGTAAAACCTTGGCCTGAATAATAGGGCTGGGATTTGAACCCAGTCCTTCTCACCCATCCCCCTCCCCCTGGCCCAACTCCTGCTCCCTCACCTGAGGCCAGAGCCTTGTGCATGCTGACCATGTGCCTTTCCACTGAGCTACACCCCCAGCCCCCACAACTTCTGCATTGAGTGCTGTGGGGACCCTAGCTTGAATGTGCAATCTTTTTGGAAAGAAAAATGTAATTCCCATTCTGATTGCAGATGAAGAGGGGTGAGTGTGTGGATAGCACCACTCCCCGATTCCTGCTCCACCACTAACACGGCTCTGTCAGAGGTGGCCTTTCTTGCACACTTGACACCGGGACCTGGGAGGACAGGGAGCATCGCTGTGGTCGCTGGGTATGGTTGCCAGGCTGCTCGTTCTCCGCTGCACCGAAGGTCAAGAGCGTGGTCTCCTGAGCTAAATGCGAGCAAGTTGCTTAACCTCTGAGCTTCAATTTCCTCACCTGTAAAGGGGAAGCAGCCTTCACCTCCACCTGCCACTTGGAGATTTCTGAGGGTCCAGCAAGGTCCCAGTGTGGCACATCATGCCCCTTTCTATGACAGGAGTGCTTAGCAGTCAGCTGCTATTGCTTCTTAGGCTTCTTAGGCATCTGTGTTGCCAGCACCACCCAGGGTCCCTGAGCTTCTTGCCCTCTGGGGACTCACTGAGCAGCAGGCAGCCTCAGTAACCCTCCTGCCCTTCTGCTGGCCCACGGGGGTGGAGAGATGCTCCCATTTGAGGTCAGGTGCAAGACATGAAGGGCTTCCTGGTCTCTGCCTTATTGAGCAAATGTGCCCTGGTCTCTTTGGGGCTGCAGTAGGACAGTGACACCCCAGGTCTTAGCAGAAACAGACTAAGGGTAAGGGCAAGGGTGGCAGGCAGTGGTGGGTATTAGGTGGCAGATGAGACCCAAGCAAGGACGGGCAGCCTGGTCAGCTGGCACTTGGTGGGGCTGCGAGGCTTTCTTCCTGGAGACAGCACTCTTTCACTGAGCTTGGCTGTGGGCTATGAAGCCATTCCATTCTCAGCTCTTGAGAACGTGGTAGAAAGTACTCTAGACTTGTATCTCTGCATAGAACTCGGGCATAGACCAGCCTCGAGACCCGGCACAATTTGTCCCCTGCCGTCCCATGGGATGAGAGTAGCCTCTGCCACTCGGGACCCTGCAGGACTAGAAGAAGCAGCGGGTAGGAAGAGGTTCCCAACAGAGCAGAGGATAGAGGTGCACGCTTGTAATCCCAGCTCCTCCCAAGACTGAGGCTGAGAGCTTCCAAGTTTGATGCTAAGCCCAGGCAGCTCAGCGACTTCAGAAGACCCTGTCTCAAAATAAAAAAATAAAAAAGGCTGGGGTATAGCTTAGCTCAGTGATAAGGTGCTTGCCTGGCTTGTGTAAGCCTCTGGGCTCCTTCTCTAGCATTATACACATCCAAAAAGGTTTCCAGCTGTCTGGAGCTAATGGTTTATACAAAGACAGCTCGGCTTGGGCTTGGAGATTAGACTTCATTCAGCCTCAAAGTTCAAATCTCATTGCAGCCAGTTACGAGCAAGACAAGGCGCTGAGCCTGCTCTGAATGGAGCTAGTAGCTTGCAGTTCCTGGGTTATTTGGGACGCAAGACAGTGGGTGAAGGGAGAAATGTGTGTGAGAGACTTCCCAGTTGAGATAAAGTTGGTTTGAGCCTTTATCAGGGGAGAGACAATGAGGGACAGGAGGATCTGGTGGCCCCGCCCAGGACCAGTCACCCTGGTCAGTCACCCTGGGGTTCTGATATGTCTCAGGCAGCTGCCCCCACCTACATCCACACCCTGCTGGGCACCACTTTGCATTGTGCCCTTGGTGCTGGCTTATCCCTTATGTCATCAGATGGCACTGTCCTGGAAGGATCGGTCTTGTTCCTTGTCTCCTCCCCTGCCGCACACGTGCTCGTGTGTGTGTGTGTGTGTGTGTGTGTGTGTGTGTGTGTGTGTGTGAGTGTGTGTGGGGGGGCACCCTCAGGAGGGGACTGACCTGGGAACGGGTTTTCTGCTGGGACCAGGTTTCCGGGAGTGGTGTCTCTGGCCAGACCTCTGCTCCTCCGAGGGCTCTGGGTTCTGGAGACGCAGGCGAGGCCTCTGCTCCAGAGCACAGGGCCACTGTGGGCGGGCGGGGAGACTGCAAGGCCAGGAAGGAGAAGGCAGAAGGGGGCTGGGCAGAGCCTTACTTTATTCCCCTCCCTCAGGAGGGGCGCGGGTGTGGGGAGGGGTGCTGGTGGTTCTCTGAGCCGCTGAGACTTTCCAGCCTGTCTGTATTAACAGACCTGCCTGCCTCTTGTTGCAGATGGAAGAGAAGAGACGAAAATACTCCATCAGCAGTGACAACTCTGACACCAGTGACAGTAAGGCCTTCCCATCTGGGGCTTCTATGGGGAAAGCATTTGAGGCCGGGGTAGGAAGAGGCTGCCACACAGCTTGGCCAAGGAGTGCAGTGATAGAAACATAAATCGACCCAGGGCTCTCTGCTCCTGAGCTAGTTCCTATGACCCGCAGGGCCTTTCTGTGCCCTTTGCTTTAGCTCTCTTCCCCTCTAGGTCTCTACTCATTTTGCTGTGATTGGAGTAGCTCAGCTGGTCCCAGGGCCTTTGCACATAGTACTTCTGGGTGGCAGAAGAAAAAAGTCCTTTTTTGGCCTTTCTATTGAGACTTCCCTTTTAGGAAGTCTGCGTGACATCTAAAGCCTGTCGCTCTTTATTACCCGATAAATATCTCTCCAACCAATGGGAAAAGGCTTGATAAGAGGGCTCACGTCTTCTCCAGCTGCAGTCTGGCATATAGTAGGTGCTAGGTAAATGTCGACTAATGAAATTAACGGAGAAGCCCAAATTTCATGGGTTCTTGGCAGTAGACTCTCGGGTAGATCTGCATGTGGAGCAGGTGTCAGTTGGCTGCGTGAGTGTGAGGAACCATGGTGTATGGTCAAAGAGAAAATGGGGCTCTGCAATTTGAGAGCAGAGGAGACAGGGAGGTTAGTGCAAGGTGAGAGCTGCCCTCCAGTGTAAGGTCCTACAGCGGCTCTTTTAGGGGGCAGGGCAGAAGCTAGGTCTGTGGGTAGCAGATACAGCACCAGTGGGGTACAACCAGCACTGAGTGCCTTGCTGGAGGTACCTGGGTAAGGAAGCAATTGGGGCCAGGGAGGCCGAGCCTGCAGCACTCCAGACTTGTGCGTTCACCCCGGGTGACCAAGGGTGACTGCTAGGCCCTAAGGTCCTTGCTAGGTCCTCTAGTCCTATGAGTCAAAGAACACCAAGCCTGTGATTAGTGGGGTCTCTGAATCCCCTCCTGGTTCCCTGAGTTCCACAGCCCCCCGAAAGCCTAGAGGTGCTAGGACGGCTGGTGAGGTCTCAGCCCCTTCCCTTCCTCTGGGTTTCATTCACTGTCCTTTGAGTCTGACCGTGGTGTCCAGCCTGGCCAGCCTGTCTTCCCCATAGCCGGAGATGACAGCATCTGCCTTTTGTAGCTACAGCAGCTGCTTGCAGCCTGGCTCAGCAGAACCAAGACCCACAGCTTCGTTTCTTCACTTCAGCCCTTCGAAAGGGCCCGGCACATGTGCGAGTGGCCGTCTGGGCAGCCGAGCCCTGGAGCTGCATCAGGGCTGAGCCATACAAATCCCTACCACGGTGCCCTTCTCCAAGGCTGCTGCTCCTGTTTACCCAAAGCCTTGGGTCTGCCTGTGAGCCTGCTTGCTCTTCTTTGACTCATAGGACCAGAGGACCTGGTCTAGCAAGGGCCTTAGAGCCTAGCAGTGACTGCTGAGGCTTACCGAGGAATCCCCTTGAGCCGGGGCCATGCTTAGACCCCATAAGCACAATGCCATTCGAGCAGCCCATGGAAGACTATTCATCTCTGGGCCTTTGTGTGAGCTCTACATCCCTGTGACGAAACACACGTGTGAAGTGACTGACTTATTACACGGAAGTCATTGGGCTCACAGTTTGGGAGGTTTCAGTCTTTGATCCATTGGTCTCAGTAACGTAAGTCCCTCTCCTAAGGCCTCCTCCTAAAATGTTTACCGGGCCTCCCAGTAACACTACCCTGGAACCACATCTCCAGCATGTCAGCCTTTGGAGGATCCTTGTACAAACCATCACAGTTCCATTTTATAGAAGGGCAAACTGAGGCTCGGAGATGAGCTCATTTGCTTACAGCGCTGGCCAGCTAGGAAGGGGCAGAGTCAAGTCCCAGCCTGGTGGTCTGCTGTGTCTGCTTCAAAGCCGCTTCCCACTGTCCTGCTCTGCCGGGAAGATCATGCTAACCCTAACCCGTGGCGAGTGAGAGGGCACAGGGTGCTTACTCAGCACCCCTTGACTGAAAGACAGAGCGGAGGACCAGGGTCTGTCTTGTCTAGAGTCACACAGTAATGCACCTGCCTGCCGTTCCCGGCCCTTCTGATGGATGAGTGGGGAGGCTGAAGCCCAGAGCAGGACACAGGGGTCTCTCCAGATCTCTCAGAGCTGAGCTCTGAGCCCTGTACCCTGGTGTGGGTGGGTGGTGTGCCTGGCCCTCCAGGACCCCGCACCGGTCCTTCTTTCTCTGCAGGTCACGCTACATCTACGTCAGCATCAAGATGTTCCAAACTGCCCAGCAGCACCAAGGCGGGCTGGCCCCGGCAGAAAGAAAAGAAGCCCTCGGAGGTGGGTAGCTTCTTAGAAGCCCAGGTCGGGTTACTGGGGCCGAGAGTGGGGTGGTGAGTTCCTGGTACAGGTACATGTTTGGAGTGAACAGGGAGGCCAGGGGGACCCCAGTCACAATGAGGCGCAGTCACCTAAGCTTCTTCGTTTTTTTTTTTTTTTTTGGCTTTTTCGTTTTTATTGGTACCAAGGATCGAACTCACAACTGCCTGCTTTCAAGGCAGGCACTTATGCTGCTGAGTTAAATCCCCAGCCCCCTAAGCTTCTTTTTAAGTTGTCATCAAGCCGTTCATGTCCATCTGAGGGGAAAAACGTGCTTTAGAGCCGGTGTTAGGCTGAAGGATGGGTCCTCAGAGCCATCCCGTTAGGCACACACTGCTGACGATCATTCCACATAGCACACTGTAGTTTTTTTTTGGTCTTTTTAAAACAGGGTGGAACAATGCAGTTCAGGCTGGCATTGAGCTACATTGTAGCCCAGGCTGGTCTTGAACTGGCGGTGACGCTCCTGCCTCAGTCTCCTGAGTGCTGAGACTACAGGGCTATGCCACCACATCCGTCTTCTTCATGACTTATTCATCTTTAAAAAGCACTTTTTATTAAAAGTATCCCTGAATTTCAGGACTCTTGAAATGTCTGGTAGATAAGAGAAACTTAGGGTCTCAAGATCACATCTCTATGACCTTGGGGTGGGGAAGCCCTGGGTTCATCTGCAGAGCGCTTGGTCTGAGTTGGGGGAAGGTATTTTTTTCCCAGCCATCCATCCCTGCCTCTTCTGTTCCACCACCTCCGAGGCAGTTCTGGTACCTGTCTTTAGCCCGCCCCTAGGAGGGCTTCCAGAAGGCTTTGCATTTGAAAAAGGGCTCCACCTCCAGGAGGCCCAAGCCTAGGACTTTCCCGTTGCGGGATGGAGGTCAGTCCTTTGAGACTCCCCCTCCCCACCCTGGCCCCCTGGGGGGAGGGGTGGAGATGAATGGCCGTTAGCTCTGGGGATCCTTTTAGGGAGGTGTTAGAGAGGGGGCACAGTGCTGGGACTGAGGCTCTTACTGTCCCCCACCCCTACCCCTACGGAGCGGAGAGTGGACCGGAGAGTGGACCGCGCTTACGGGCAGCCTGGGGAGCCCAAGGCAGGGTGAGATGTCCTCCTGGCCTTGGGAGCCATGCGGCTCCGAAGTTGCTGTAGCTTCATTTTATTTTTCTGGGAGGCGAGGGACCTGCCTTTCCCTCCTGCTCTCTGGCTGGTTGGCTTGGAGTGACTGGGAGGCTCTTAGGGTTGGCCCGAATTCCCCAGACTCCGGGCTGGTCTCTAGCCTGACTCCTTCCCAGTCTCCGTGTCCAAGCTCAGGTGAGAGGGGGCGGGCTGCCTCCGGGGCCCAGCTGCCATGACACCAGGATCTGACTAGGCTGGGAGGAAACAGGTGTCAGCAAAGGCTGAGAAGCAAGAGCAATTTGCATGGGGGAGAAAATTCCCCTGCCTCTTGGGTTTTCCAGCCCAGAGCCTTTGTACCTAAAAATAGAGTCAGACCCCCCCCAGCCAGGAGCCTCTTGCAGGTGGCTGTGGGGTCTGAGTGGGAGGCCCCAGCCCCCTCCGAGCTCCAGGAGGGCTGAGACGTCCTCTCAGCCTTGAACGTTGGCCAAGGACAAGCCTTTCTTCCCACAGCAGGCTGGAGAGCAGCCTGTGAGGTTTCCCTCATCCCCTAAGTGAGAAGGTTGAGCTCTGTGGCCGCCATAAATCCTGAGTTATCGTGGGACCCAGAAGACACCATCAATGAAAGCTTCCAAATTATTTGGCTCATGAAAGGGCGGAGAACAGAGCAGGGACTTGGCTGCGGAGAGTGTTTGCACTAAATTGCACTAAATCTGCTCGCTGGGTTACTCCCTTCTCTTTCTGTGAATGGGCTGGAAGGGGAGAGCCAGGTCTGGCAGGCCTGGGGGCCAAGGGCTCTGGACACCCTAGGGCAAGGGGCTCTGGGAGCCTCCTGATCGGGTGCCATGTGGCAGTCGGGCAGGCCTCTGGCACACTTGCAGAGCCATTCACGAGGTACAGAAAAACCCCTCGGTGGCCCTGGAACTCAGGGTTCACTTGGCCTCTTCATACTAGTGGGCACAGGGGGCAGGTTTGAGACCCTGGAGGGCTTCGCATCACAGTGGGGTGTCTAGTGAGCCCCTCTGATGTGTGACGATGGCTCAGATTGTGTTTTGGTGAGACAGATAGGGCTGTCCTTCTCAGTACTGCCTGCTGCCCCAAGGGTACAAATCGGGGTGCCCTTAACACCAAAGGAGATGCCTAGGATGGAAGAAAGTACTGACCAGAAGTCAGGACCCTGGACAGGGCTGCGGCCTTGAGGCCCAGCTTCCTATCTGGCCCTCACCCAGTGGACGGCCCCTCCCTGACCAGGGGGCAGGGCAGTGCAGGCGTTTGAGCAGAGGGCTGGTGGGGCCAGGCCCAGGAAGCCTTGGCAGCTGTGTGGGGACTTTTGGTGGAAGTCCATAAGGTCTGATGTCCGCCCTGGGTCCCCTTAGGCAGCGAAAGGAAGAGCCGGACAAAGGAAGAGCCGGATGGGGACTGAGCCCAGGTCTCAGCCTGCAGCCTTCCTGTTTGCCTGCCCTTGCTGAGCTCCATCTCTTGGCCCTGAAATCCTGGTGCTGGGGATTTTCTCTGCCTGGAGACCCGCTTTATTGTGTAAATTCCTCTACAGTCTTGAGTTTCTAGCCAGGCCTGTCTCACCAAATAAGGTAGCCTGTTTTAGTTCCTAACCCCTGGCGGGACGCAACTCTGGAAATTTAGTCAGAGATTATTCGTTTACAGACTAATAGCAGACCCCCCCGCAACCCCACCCCGGGGTACTCTCACTTCAGTGTCCTGGATTTAGCCCCAAAACTGTATTGTTGTAAAGCCCTAGTACTGGGGCCAGGGTCCGAGAGCTCTGGTCTTGACTTTCCCTTCCCTTCCATTCACCAAAGCAAGGGGTTCCTGGTGTGCTGTGATCAAAAGTTGTGGTGGGTGGGATTGAGGGGGCAGGGGCTCTCCAGCTGGGTTGGAGACCTCAGCAGAGGCAGGAGTGGGTGGGCTGGGCATAGCTCTCTTCCCCTAGCTTCTTCCATAGGTGCAGAAGACAGAAGAAAGAGGAAGAGCAAGCCAGGCTGTGGGGGTTTCCCCAACAGGCCACGGGGAGGACAGAAGCAGTGTTTTCAGGAAGTCATTGTCCCCAGAAGTCAGCCTGTGGGCAGGAACCGGGTGCTGAGCTGCAGGTGCTGAGTAAGATCAGCGAGCGGGTGAGGTTGCTGAGGAGGAGGTCTGGCTCTGTGCTCGGGCCAGTGCCAGGGGCTGTGCGTCCCCAGGAAGCCTGTGTTGTGTCGCAGGATGCAGGTGCCCTCCACAGGAAAGTGGCCTTTACTGGAGGCGTGGCCAGTTTTGCCAGGAGGTTCGGGCTTTGTCTCTGTGTCCCCTGGCGAGTGATCAGTTTTTCCCTTCGTGCATGATTGTTACCTGTTCACACCTGCCCTGCAGTTTGTGTTCTGTCCACGTGACTGACCTTTCCAGAGACCCATGGGCCAGAGGGCCAGGGAGGTCTCAGAGATGAGTGGGATGTCGGGAGAAATTGACCACCCTGAAATGAAAACCTGGGTGGGAGATGGGATGCAGTGGTCAGCTCCTGTGTAGGCCCTGGTGGCAGGGTAGTGTGGCCTTGGGAGAATGAGGCCTTTGCAAGTTCCCCGGGGCCCCTTCGCTGACCCCAGCTCATTTTCAGGGACAGGGACTAGGGGAGAGAGGGGAAATAACTTCTGAGCCAGCAAGGAGGTGTGTCCCAGAACCGCTGTCCCATTAAAACCCTTTTCTGCCAGGGGTTAGGAACCAGCAAGTGGCAATGAGAGGACAAAGCTTTGCAGCTGACCCTTGCTTTTAAGAAAGGTGTCCGCCTCCCCTGGGAGAAGGCTGAAGTGGAGGTGATGGCCAGCTTCTGTTGGGGCTGCAAAACAGATACATTAAGAGCGTTCCTGGAGGGAAAGAAGCATCATCCAGATGTTCAAGATAACATCTTTAATCTGGCATGTGTTGTAGTCACACGCAAAATACTCACAAGCTTGAGATAAAACGGGAATCCCAAAGCTGGCTCTGTGCTTGCCCCTGTGGTTCTGAGCCACCTTTGTAGCATACAGCAGGTCCTTCCCACACTGGGAGGTGGCTGGGGAGGGCGTGGGGAACCCTTCCTGTGGGCCAAGTACCTGGTCTCTGAGGCGCAAACCTGGGGTGGTGGGGAGCGGGATTCACTTCTCAATTAGTCGGAAACACTGCTGCTCCTGCCAGCTGGAAAGGCCTGCTGGCCTCTGGGACTTATCTTGCAAAAGAAACGCGTGCAATAAATTCTCTTTAAGAGCAGGAAGTGCTATTATCCTCATGAAAATAAGAGAAAGTGATGTTGAGTGTTTCTGTTCTTAAAGCATTTGATCAACTCAGCCTGGTGGTAGCTGGAAGCGTGCCTGGGGAGAGGGGCGCTATTCCCAGAGCCCTTCTCTGTTGTTTTAGACCTAATTTTAACTATGCAGTTTGCTCTTAGCTGAAGATGCTCTTTATCAGGGTCCAGCCCAGAAAGATTATTTAAAAGATGAATGATCTTCTGGCTTGCCGTTGTTATTAAAGAGCATTATGGATCTCAGACAAGGGGTCTAAGCTTTCTGAGTCTTTCTGTGTCCCCAGCTGTACAGCGAATGTAGTAGGAATTCAGCGGGACCATGTAGGTAAAGCACTTAGCACGATGCCATGAATGACTTTTTTTGGGAGGTGGATCGAACTCAGGACCTCACACTAGCCAGGCAAGCTGAGGCTTGCTGAGCTATATCCCCAGCCCCATGCGTGACTGAACTCTGTGCCTGTGACAGACCCTCAGACCACCCTTGGAGTTGCCAGTCTGCTCCCTCCTGGGATGGACAGAGGTTGAGGTCTTAGCCAAAGCCATTTCTCCCAGCTGTAAGACAGTGACCAGGACCAGTTTCTAGTTCCACCACGGGGAATCCTGTGGGTCCGTCTCCTGCCTCTGTGCTCCCTACTGCTCACTGCCTGTCTGCCTGACAGGAAATTTCAGAGTGTGGCTGGGTTTCAGATGGATCCTGGCCTGCCTCCCTGCCTGCCTGCCATCCACAAGCATTTTTTGTGTTCATTTGAGACAGGGTCTCACTATATAATTCAGGCTGGTCCTGAATTCACTGTGTAGTGCAGGCTGGTCTCGAACTTGCAGCGATGCTCCTGCCTCAGCCTCCTGAGTGCAGGGGTTACAGGCACGTGCACCACTACACCTGGCACCAAGTGCATTGTTGCCCATGGGCTCAGTAAAGACAGAAGAAGCGTAGAATGTGTGCGGTGTCTGTCTTTCTGTAGTTGATTATTGGAGGAGATAAACATTAAACAAAAACTGATACAAATAATTACATTTTATAATTGTGCTAAGTGCTGGAGCCTTAAATAACCAACTTCCTCTTGGTGCCTCTCAGTCTAAAGGACTCTGACATAGTAATTGAACCCTGGAGGAAAGGAGGAACCAAGGCTCCAGGATGAAATGTTCCAACGGCGGCCACCGTCATGCATTGAAACTCTTTGCGGGGTGCCTGCCAACTGTGTGTCAGCACACTTCAGAAGTTCCCTGATGTCCTTATTTGTTTTTGGAGCACACAGACGCCAGTGATGCTTTCTTCCAGAGCCCGTACTCATTTTTGGGGAGACAGGTAGAAAGGTAGACTTGTGTGGGTGGTGTGGACTTGGGTTTCAGGTAAAGGAATCTCAGGGCAGTGCCGTTGGACGGTTCTGAGGCGACATTCCCACATCTGGGTCCACCAGGGTCTTCAGGCCCCTGCCATGGCTTCAGTGGCCCCCTTGGCACTCAGGTTGGTCATTAAACTGGAGTTGGAGGTCTTCAGCTGTCCTGTATGCTGCTTGGAGAAGCCCCAGTGATTGTCTCCCCAGCAGCTCAGCAGAACTCGGTTGCTAGGCAGCAGACAACTTGTCAGTTTCTGCCAAAAGAGAGGAAAATAGTAAACATTTACATGCTTTTAAGAAATGGCCTGTTTTCCACCTTGCGACCTTCTGCAGTGGCAAGAATTCTGCTCTTCAGTTTCCATTTGATTCTTTATTAAGTTTCCTTAAATCACTCAAAGGAGTTTTAGAATAATGATGTCTTTTTCGAAGTGTAACCCTGACAGTGCAAAGCAAAGCGTGTTCAGGTTAGAACTGGGCTGCTATACTGATGGGAATGCAAGTGTACAGAGGCCACATCGGGAGGTCGCCAAGTACCCAGCTGCCCAGCTGTGGCCTTGATGGCAACCAGAGAGGAGGTGGCCATCTTCAGCGTGAGTCAGTTCCCGGTGACTTCAGGCCCTAGTGCACTGTGAGGCTTCTCTGCGGTGGCCCTGCCGGACCTCACCTGCTCCCCTTCTGCTGGGAAAGGCAGGACGGTGGACCAGGAGATTCCGGACAGGTGCTGTGAGTGATTGGGTAACGGGAAAGGATTCCAGGCAGGTAGGAACTGGACCTGCACTTTGAAGGGTGAAGCCAGGCACCCGTAAGTGGAGTGTAGAACACCCGGCCCAAGCTGGGGATTTAGCTCAGCGGCATAAGCACCTGCCTTGCGAGCAGGCGGTCGTGAGTAAAGAACACCAGGCCCGCTTTGGCAAACACAAAGAGGGTCCCAGACAGCATCTGCCACCTGAGACAGGGTAAAAGTGCTCAGAAGATGGGTTAGAAGTAATTGAGGCCTTGGGCCAGTTGCAGCCTGCAGGGCTCCCTCAGGTTGGTGGTGGGGAAGGTTTGGTAGGGGCTGCCAGGGCGCTGTCAGATTTGCATGTTCCCCTTGGGGAATCCACCTGATTTGGTTTCAAGTTTACTCTAGGGCAGTGGCCAGAGCCCTGATGGCAGAGGGCTGTGGGGTGCACTGTATGGCTCCAGGCCTCTTGCAGGGTTGATTTTTGGAGCAAGATGATGATGAACAGATTCTGTGACATGATTCCCAGAACCCCGGATGCCACCACACTGAGAGGTGTGAGGCCAGCCTGAGTCACTTTGGGGTCTGCTCACGCTCCCCCACCCCACCCCGTCCTGTGCTAGGGCTTCAGGGAGGTGGCAGTGCCAGAGGCCTCAGTGGGGAAAGTCTGCCTCCAGTAAAGTGGGGGGCTACTGAGGGGATACTCAAAAGTATCTGATTTGCCCTCTTTAGTATTAGCTAACTTACTGCTTGCAAATAAGATATGCAAATTATCAGGGCTGTGAAATCTTAGCCACATTCCATCTTCTGTTTAATTAGCATTTAATCACAATCTGATTTTAATTTTTCACACTGGCACCCTATAAATGTTAGCGAGTTAGTCTTAACAATTAAATTACATTGGCAAATAGAGTCTTCAAGAAACTTGACCTGCTGGGGTTGTAGCTCTGTGGAGGAATGCACGCTGGCAGGGCACACACCAGATCCTGGGGTCAGTTCCCCTGCAGTGCAAAAAAAAGAAACAAATTTTTGACCTTTTTCAGGCCGGGCCTTCTCTAGCTAAATGCAGAGATGTTAATTAGATTTTGCAGGATGCGCTTTCCAGGCCCATTTGTGTCTTTGCTAGTGGTCCTGGTTCTAGATTGTGTGCGTGGTGAGTGGGTGCAGGCGGGCAGAGGTTACCACGGACCCTTCCAGGAGCCTCTCGAAGGACGAGAGTGCTGACCTGCCCTGAACAGCAACTGAACAGAGGTGCACCCTTTTCTGGACATTTCTTTGTGGGTTTTGTCTTGAGACAGGGTCTCACTATGCAGTTCAGGCTGGCCTTGAGCTCACTTTGTAACCCAGGCTGGTCTCGAATTTGCAACGACCATCCTGCCTCAGCCTCGAGAGTGCTGGGATCACAGGCCACCATATCTAACCTCGTGTTTCTTTCTTTCTTTTTTTTTTTTTAATCTTTTTCATTTTTATCGGTACTGGGGATTGAACTCACGACCGCCTGCTTGCAAGGCAGGTGCTTATGCTGCTGAGCTAAATCCCCAGTCCCGACCTCGTGTTTCGTGTGTGTGTGTGTGTGTGTGTGTGTGTGTGTGTGTGTGTGCATGTGCGCGCTGAGGATTGAACTCATGATCTCATACTTACGCCATTGAGCTAAATCCCCAGCCCCTGGCCTCGTGTTTCTTAAAGTGGTGTCATTTGTCTCATGAACTCGAGTCCTTTAACTTGTCATTCTCAGGTGATGATCACCCCGAAGGTGGCTAACTGCGCAGGTCACGCAGTATGTGAAGATATCATTGTATTTCATGTCTGCACTTGTTGGAGGCTAGAGTGCAATTCAGAGGACAGGGGCAGGAGGCCTTCCCCAGTGCCAGCTGGGCGTGGACTGGGAGCTCATTGGGGGTGTAGGTAGGGACAGCGGAACAGTGAGAAGAGCGGTGTGGACGCAGGCCCCCCAGCCTGAGGGCGTCTGAACAGGCTGAATGAAGCAGGAGGACAGCTTGCTGCTTCCTTGGCTCAGCTCTAGGTGGTGTCATCTGCCACCCTGCGGAGGTAGAGACCTGGTGTCCTTGCCCTTGGAAGCCACACTGTAAGCTTCCCTAAGCCCCTTCCCTTTCTTTTGCTGTTTGTGGGGAACACAGTCCTTCTGCTGGTTCATGCTGCCGCCTGTGCCTGTGAATACAAATCTGTCACACAGTCTCAGACACCCAGGAGCGGTTTCCCGACAGCCCCAGAGCGGCAGTGCTGCCTTCACAGCAGCTGCCTTTCTGCCCTCGGACTTTGCCCGCTTTTTGTTTTGCTTGTTTTTGGCTTGTTTTTATTCCCTGCCTTTCTCTGTGATAAGTCTTCCCCCGTCTGTTAGGTGCGCTCACAGCCATCACTCACACGTGACTCTTTCATAGGTCAGGGCCGTGAATCCTGCTGGAAGCTGTACCGTGTGCGGGGCGCTGCGGTGCGGGGCTGTGTGACCGAGTTCTTCCTGCCGGAGTTCTGTCTGGAGTGTCAGTGCACGGGTGGGGAGCCCACTGCAGTGCGGGCCTTCACCCCTTCCCCTGGCGGTGGAGCAGGCCGCCCCGAGGCCATCCAAAGCTGGTCCTTCCCCTCTCACCCGGCAGGTTTTCCGAACAGACTTGATCACGGCCATGAAGATTCCCGATTCCTACCAGCTCAGCCCGGATGACTATTACATCCTGGCAGACCCGTGGCGACAGGAGTGGGAGAAGGGTGTGCAGGTGCCCGCCGGCGCAGAGGCCATCCCAGAGCCCGTGGTGAGGTGAGCCGGGGGTCCCCGGCCATGGTGTCAGGGCTGGGAATGAGGGGAGGCTGTTTTCTGGCTTGGGGAGCTGCCAGCCCTGAGATGCCTCCCTAGCTGGTCTTAGTCTGATTTTCTTCTCTCCACTGATAAACCACCAACCTGTTCTGGAAATACTGGCAGCTTCCCTTTGTGGTGCTGAGCCCAGCTCTAGAGCCAGACTGCTGGAGATCAAATTGCTGCTCATTCAGTGTGGCTCTGGGCCGGAAATGTAATTGCTGGACCTCAATTTCCTTGGCTGTGAAATGGGAATTACAGTATTCGCTTTTCCTAGTGGTTGTGCATGTGATGTAAAATGATGTGTGCCCTGGGCACAGTGGCACAGGTAGTGATCCCAGCACTCAGGTGGCCGAGGCGGGAGAATGGCTGGGAGTTTGAGGCCAAATGAGTTTAGGTCCAGCTTGAACTGCAGAGCAAGACAGTGTCTCAAAAAGACCCCAAAATAAAAATAAACAAACCAAATGTATGCAGGACACTGAGTATAAAACCTGGCACATTCGAAAGACTCTGTAAAAACTGGCTGTGGATTAGGGTGCTGTCCCTGCAGACCATGCCCCCAAACAGAGTGGCTCAGTGAAATCATCAACCTTTTTTCCCCCAGTACTGGGAACTGAACCCAGGGCCTTGTACAGGTGAGGCAGGTGCTCTGCCATTAGGCTATATCCCTAGTCCAAATCACTGGACTTTAAATAAATGTGTGAAAAAGTGTTCAGCATCACTGGCCATTTGAGAGATACAAATTAAAATAACACTGAGATTCCACCTCACCTCAGGAAGAATGGCTGCTATCAAGAAATCAAGCAGCAGCAAGTGTTGGGGGCCTGTGGGGAGAAAGAAAGCCTTCTCCACTGCTGGTAGGAATGCAGATTGGTGCAACCACTATGGAAACCAGTGCAGAGTCCTCACAAAACTGGATGGAAGTCCTATTCAACCCAGCTGTTCCCTTCTGGTATCTTCCCGAAAGAATTAAAAATAGCATACCACAGCCGTATGTGTGCACCCATGTTTATAGCAGCACATTCTGTAATAGGCAGATCTTGGAAACAACCTAAATGTCCATTGACTGAGAAATGGATAAAAAAGATGTGGTATTTCTAAAACACAGACTACTAAGTCATAAAGAAGCATAAACTGGAGACTTTTATGGGTAAATGGATGTAACTTGAGACCATACTCATAAGTGAAATAAATAGGACACACATGTATAAACATCGTATTGTCTCATTAGTGTGAGAAGCTGAAAGAAAAAATGTGTATGTGTATGTATATAAAAAATAGTTAAGTCACGTTAGCAGGCTTTTATGTGCTTACAACAGGGGGAAGCCATGCTCCTAACTTTTTGTTTTGTTTTGTCTTTGGTGATGGTGGTAGCACTGTGGTTAGAACTCCGGACCTCTTTTGTTCTTTATTCTTAGCTTGCTTTCTTTGTCTTTTGTGCTTTGCTTTGTTTTGTTTGAGGCAGGTCTCACAGTGTAGTTCAGGCTGGCTTTGACCTCACTATGTAGCCTAGGCTGGCCTCGAACTCGTGGCGATCCTCCTGCCTCAGCCAAGTGCTGACTGAGATTACAGGTGTGCACCATACACCCTGCCCAGCTTCTTTTGAGCTTCTTAAAGGAGCTCTTAGAAGTGTGCGTTTCCAGGCTCCCAGTGCACAGTCGCTGGTGCAGAAGCAGGTGTCAGTGCCCCCAGGGCTGGGGCGGAGAGGGTCCGTCCCCCATCCCTCAGGTCTCCTGGGCCAGGAAGCAGGTGGGTGTTAGTTGCTCTGGTCGGAGTGGAGCCGCATGGCAGTGGGCCTTCCCTCCAGCGGGAGCTTGGCATGTGCTTTTGTGCACCCTGGCAGCCCTCAGCACAGCAGCGTCCTGGGGTCAGTGGCTGTACCTTCCTGGCCTTCACAGCCCTATGGATCTTCTTTCAGCCTGGGCAGACCAAGCTCGGGCAGAGCACAGCTGTCCCTTCCTCCTGTGTTGGCACCATCACCTGGTAGCAATCTACAACTGTGACAGACTTGTAGCCACCGAGCCTGTGTAGTGCTGGTCTCGTACCGGGCATGGGTCACAGGCAAAGGCGACTCAGCCTACCAGCTGCCCTGTGGGTGCTGGGAGGAAGGAATTGGAGGATGGATTCATTATTGTGCACCTCCCCTTCCTGGGCCAGTAATGTGGGTTGGCTCCGTGCCAGCCACACCCACATCCTGACGCCCTAAACCGTGACTTGACTGCTTTGAGCCCATCACCTCCTGGCAGATGGGCACAGTACCGTTTGTTGGTACGGCGTGGTGAAGATTAAAGGAGAATACACGTGGCAATTTGTCGGCACATGTGCCAGGGCCTGGGGCCATGAAGAAGGAAGGACAGGCCTCTGGCTAGACAGAGAACCAGTCCTGGTCTGCCTCGCCCAGCCGCCTGTCGCTTCTCCTTGGAGTACCCTTGGCATATTGCAGATGCTCCCACACTGGAGCTGGCTTCCTTCTGCCCATCAGGTGCTTTGTCTGTTGACATCCAGAGCAGAGAAGGGTTCAGGCTGCCTTGGCTTCTTGAGGTGCACTCCCAGCACGCACAGCGCTGGGCTTCCATGAGCCAGGCGCTCCCAGCCTGCACCGTATAAGGTTTGGAAAGGCTGGACAGGGCAGGTATGGCGCATGGCAAGCTCTCCACACCCCTTCTTCCTCCTGTCCTCCAAGCCCAGCTCTTCCATCTCCCTGGGGCATCATCTGCCCCTATGGCAGCCAGAGTGGGCAGAATCCCTGCAGAACCCCCAAACCCGAGTCCTTGGGTTACACCCTCTCGCTGCCTGCCTTACACAGTAGGTAGTACTGGCCCCATTTTGCAGATGAGGAAGTTGGGGAATTCTGGGGAATTTCCTGCAGGGCTGATGGGGCCCTAGTGGGCTAGGTTCAGGAAATCAGAGGCCGCAGAACAAACCCTGGGTTGCCCCTGTGAGGCCCAAAGAGACAGCCTTGTATGTGCTGGCTCTAATGACCTTTCTCAGCTACTGTCCCAGTGCTTCCTTGGCCTGCGGGCAGTGGTGCCCACCTTGTGGGCACAAGACTTGGTGCAGGGAAGAACCACTCTCTGGGGTGACCACCTCCACCCAGCTGAGCTCTGCTGCTGGCAGTAGCAGCGGCTGAGGGGGAGGCCTTGGCCTGTCACCCCATGCCTGGCAGGAGTGTGTCCCCCACACCCAGGTGAGGCGCAGAGCCCCAGGCACCCAGGAACTCCTGGTGTGTGTTCCTTAGCCCTGGTTCCCCAGAGGGATGGTGGTGACCTCACGGCCGCAGGTCCGGCCAGGTAGCCTGCAGCAAGCGGGTGTGAGGAGCGTTGTGCCACTAGGTGGGTACCTGGAAGCCTAGGACACAGGCAGAGCCCAGTCATGACAGAATGACAGGCCATGCTGTCATTTTTAAAACAAAGCCTTTATTGGATAGCAGTTCTGTGACGGAAAGGCAGCATTCCCAGTACTGCTCACTGGTGTTGCGTCTGTCTAGAGTCCCCTGTGCAGGGACAGGCACTTCTCGTCATGGTGGTGCCCAGCCCCTTGCCCTTACCTTCCTCTGTGCCCGGACACGTTTCTCTGGGCTCCGCTCTGCCTCCCTTGCGGTCTCCTGCACCCTTCCTGCCTTTCTTGCTGACCCCAGGGGTATTTTCTGCATTGCGGGAGCCCTGCCTGCCCTGGGCTGCTCAGCCACCTCTCAGGGTCATCTCCAGTCCCGCCTTCCCCTCCGACTCCTCACTTAGTCACAGCCCCGGGCACCCCAGCCTCAACCCAGGAGGCTTCCTGGGCAAGTGAGGGGCCTCTCGGGCCCAGCAGCGCTGGCCAGATGGAGGCCAGGCTCTGAGGCAATAACCATGGCAACCAGTGGGAGGTGGGAAGAGCTGGCATTTTGATCTGGCACCAAGCTGTGAAGGGCAGCAGACAGCTGTGCCAAGGAGACACCGCCCTCCTGAGGCCAAGTGTCCCCTTGTATCTCCTTTCAGGGTTACAAGGTGTCGTCTGAAGGATCTCGAAATACATATGTGTACATGTGTGCACATACACAGTGCTTGCCGTGGGCTGGTACCTGGAGTTTTGCTTTCATTAATCCTTGTAATCCTCCCACTAGCCGTGTAAGATTGGCGCTGAGACATTCAGTGGCAGAGCTGGACTTTGGTCTCCACCTGCAGCCAGGGCCCTGGGTGCCTCAGAGGCACAGCCCTGACCCCCAGGGTGATGGAGAAGGATGCGATCCTGGGACCATAGTGGGTGCATCTTTGTGTACAAGGAATGGGTGTCCCTCTAGGTTGAGGGCAGAAGCAGACTACACTAGTAACACAGTGGGTCCACACCTGTCATCCTAGCTACTCAGGAGACTGGGGCTGGAGCATTGCAGGTTCAAGGCAAGCCCAGGAAACTGAGTGAGACTCAAAATAAAATTTTACAAAAGGGCTGGGCTTGTGGCTGAGTAAAGGTGCGCCTGCCTGGCACATTTGAGTTCAGGGAGAGGGTGGGTTGGTTATGCCAAAGGCCCTGGGGTCCATCTGGCTCTATCCCAGGGCACCACCTAGGACAGCATGGGGACCCCTCCTGCAAGGCTGGATGGGACAGTCTGTCAGATGAGGGTGAGGGCTTTAGCCGAGGCCCAGCTGCCCCGTTGGGGACAGTTGGAAGTGTGCTCTGGCTGGGAGGGCTGTGGCTCAGCCACTCTTCACACCCCCACTGCACCCTTCAGGCCTTCCTGCTCCTCCTCACACACAGGCGGTGGAGGAGAAGAGGAAGGAGCAGGTAGATGAACGTAGGTCCCATGGAACATCTGTGTTGCACCCCTCACACTTGGCCCACAGGAGCCCCTGAGGGTGCAGGCTGAGAGCCTGCCCTCACGGTCTCCCGTCTTCCTTTCCCAGGATCCTCCCACCACTGGAAGGCCCCCCTGCACAGGTGTCCCCAAATGACTCTGCCCTTGGTGAGGGGTCCCAGCCCACTTGGCCCGGGGGCAGCCGCTATGACCTGGATGAGATTGACGCCTACTGGCTGGAGCTCATCAACTCGGAGCTCAAGGAGATGGGTAGGTGCCCTCCGCTCTAGGAATGGGACCCGGACCGACCCCAGACGCTGGGCGGAAAGTCCCCACTGCATTACTGCTGGGTGGTCATTGTCTCTGTGCATCCGGGTTCTGCAGCTGTCAGGTGGGGACAATAAGAACACAATATTGTTGGGAATTCTCGGGACTCCTGCAGAAGGCATGGGTGTGGCAGGAAGGGTAAGCTGTACCCAGCTGGGGCTGGTGTCAAGGACTGGGGACATTCTGGCTGACACATCTTAGAAGGACCAGCTCTGCCACCTTCTGAATGTGCCCTTGCACACAGGGTGCATACACAGGGTGTGGAGTGGGCTGCATCTTGGGGACACTGTGTTACCTGCATGCACACACACGTGGTCACTGTGTGCTGTCTATAGCGAGGGTGTCACAGCGCATGGGCCTCGGGCTCTGTCATTTGGCCCATCTGTCTGCTCTGGATCCCTGAAGTCCCAAGAGCTGAGTCCTCCACAGCTCAAAGGAGGTGGGGCTCTAACACCGTCCCCTGCCATCTCCCTGCAGAGAGGCCCGGGCTGGATGAGCTGACGCTGGAGCGTGTGCTGGAGGAGCTGGAGACTTTGTGCCACCAGAACATGGCACGGGCCATCGAGACTCAGGAGGGGCTTGGCATCGAGTATGACGAGGACGTCGTCTGTGACGTGTGCCGCTCCCCTGAGGGTGAGGACGGCAACGAGATGGTCTTCTGTGACAAGTGCAACGTCTGCGTGCACCAGGTGGGGAGCCCCTCTCCCCCCTGCTCTGCTACCTGCACAGGGCCTGGGGGGCCCACTGTCCCGGAGCCTGGCCTTGTGGGGTGCCATCTCCCATAGGCTCTGAGACTCGGGGCCCATTTCTTAACCTCTCTGAGCTTCTGTGCCTTCAGCGGTAAATAGAGTGTTGTCTAGAGGGTTCAGTTCTGTATGCGTTGCTTGCTTAGTGCAGTGTAGCAAGGACTATAGACATCACCTCCGTCACTGGTATCATAACCCTATAGAGCAGGGCAGATCCCCCTCTCCATTTTGGGCCCTGAGGCTTTAGGTCTTGGGTTTCTAGAAGTCCCAGCAGAGACCCAGAGGGCTCACACTGGTCCTGACTGAAGTCCTTTGTACCACTGCTGCTGGTCCAGCCCCTGGGGAGCTTGGCCAGGGTCCGCAGTGGGTCAGCGGGCAGCCCTCATACTTGCACATCCGTAGGCCTGGCAGCCATTGGGCCCCTGTGTGTGTCCTAAAGGTGGGCTGTTTCTGGAGGAGCCCTGCCCACAGTCCTGCCTAAGGAGGATGAAATCTCTCGGTGTTGTTCCTAAGAAGCACATGACTGGTTCTGTGTTCTGCTTACCATGCAGAGTTTGGGGATCCTCCAGATGTCCACAGTTGTTAAGGAATCTGGCTGAAGTGAGTCCCCTCCAGCAGAGAGCAGCCATGTGCCCTTTCACAGAGGATGAAGTGGTTCGGATTTGGGGCTCACTGCAGGCCGAGGGGCTTCCTGGGAGTCCTCAGCATCAGTGTGGACCTCTGGAGGTCCCTGTGCTGGTCTGGAGGCTGGCCGTACAGCAGTGCTCACCAGCCCTGGACTGACCAGTACCTCTGAGCCGTGGCTGTGTGCTCTGTCCCCAGGCATGCTACGGGATCCTTAAGGTGCCCACGGGCAGCTGGCTGTGCCGGACATGTGCCCTGGGAGTCCAGCCAAAGTGCCTGCTCTGCCCCAAGCGAGGAGGAGCCTTGAAGCCCACCAGAAGTGGGACCAAGTGGGTGCACGTCAGCTGCGCCCTCTGGATTCCTGAGGTGGGTAGATGGTGGGGGCAGCGGGGAGGGGAGGCCGGCCCGGGGAGCATCACCTGTGTGGGAGGCAGATCTGCATGGAGCCTTGGGTGCCAGGCACTGGGAGAGCAGGGGCTGGGCCACATAGCACCACGAGGGGAAGCAAGCTGTGGGGTCCTTTTCACGCTGGGCAGTGGCTCCCACTGGTGGCAGGCTGCATGTTTAAAACACAGGCCACCCGACCAGAAAGAAAGCGAGGCCTTGAGCCCGATTCCAAGTTGGCCAGTGGGGCTACTGCCATGGCTGTGGTTAGCTGGTGGCTGAGGCCAGCGGGATGGGGGGTCCTGAGCAGCCGGCTGTGTCTGTCCCAGGCTCAGCAGAGGCTGTGGACTTCTGGGAGATGGCATTTTCTTTGAAATGAGAAAGGCTGAAGGTACCTGGGTTGCAGCACTGACCTTGCTGTGTGCCCTGCAGACTGAGGCCCCACTGTAGTGCTGCTCGTGCCCAAAAGCCACTCAGGTGGCCCTGTCAGTAGTCAGCCCTTCCCTTGAGCTCATAGCCTACAGTGCAGGCTTCTGTGGTAGCAGTGGTCACTGACTGCAGATCTATCCCTGGGAGGTTGTGACTACTACATAGTCTGCTGGGCTGGGGAGCCCTTGGGAGAGGGGCCCTTTCTCCATGTGCAGGCATAGGCAGGGAGGAGTTCTGTGGGCTCTCCCTCTCAGAGCCCCATAGACCAGGAACAGGCCTGTCCCCATAGGAGGAATTAAGCAAAGGTGCCTTGGGATCAAGAGACACCCAGAGCCCCCCAAGAGAAGCTGTCATGAGGCCTTTTGGTCCCAGAAAAGAAAAGCCTCAGATGCAACAGGAGGGGACCTTGTATGCACCCGAGATGTGCACCCCCTATGCTTGCACACCTCTGCCCAGTCTAAAGGTCAGGAAAGATGCAGATCTAGAGCCTGGGCTGTGCCTCTTTGGAGTAAGGAGAGACTCGGGGTTCAGCCCCTGCTCTGTCTGCCCAGTCTCTGATTTTGACAGAAAGCACACACTCATTTGGGGGATCTTGGGACACAGTCTGGAGACTGAAACAACTCCGTGTCCCTCCCAGGTCAGCATTGGTTGCCCTGAGAAGATGGAGCCCATCACCAAGATCTCGAATATTCCAGCCAGCCGCTGGGCTCTGTCCTGCAGCCTATGCAAGGAGTGTACAGGCACCTGCATCCAGGTACGTGGTCACTTCCGCCTGCTGCCTAGCCCCATGCTGCTCCGGATAGGCTCGAGAGGGGCAGGCGTGGGGGGACGGGCATGGGAGCCACAGCTTCACACTGACCTCCATCCCCAGCCTTTTCTAAGTATTGAGACCTGGGCTTGCTAAGTTGCCCAGGCTGTGCTCAAACTTTAGGTTTCCTGCTGCAACCTCCCGGAGTGCAGGTGTTACAGGTGTGCACCACCACTCCTGGCTTTGACCTCGAATTCAGTGGCAGACTTGCACATGGAAGGAGCGAGACTCTACCTTCCTCTTCAGCTAAGCCCGCTGGCTCTCCTGACAGAGCCAGGGCTAGGTTGGTCCCTCTGGGCTGTCAGTGTTCCCAGATGCTCATCTGCATCAGAACCAGCCAGAGAGCCAGTTTTTTCACATTGCTGGCCTGCTCCCCGGGGGTCCTCCTGGATTGCTGGCGAAGCTGAGAATCACAGGTGATGGTTGCTTCTGATCCATAGTTCGAGGGCAGGAGATGTTGTCGTTGGCTGTCATCTCTCCAGGAACACTTGGGTGCCTCCGCCGTGTATACGATCTTCAGGTCGGGTGCACTGTTGCTGAAACCATGGCAGCTGCCTCGTGGTCTTGCTCCAGCGCTAGGAGGGAAAGGCAGGCCTCCATCTGCCTGGGTAACAGCAAGAAAGGATCCGGCTGCAGCTCCTTTCCCTGGAATACAAAGGAGACAGATAGCTTGGATGGCGTGCAGGGGCAGAGAGGGCAGCAATCCATTATCTGCCTCTCGTTTGATGCTTTCTCACTGCAAAGTCGACTTACCTGTGCAGAAACACTGCTTGTCCCCAGCAGGGGTGCACAGCCAGCCTCTGATGGTTGAGTCCCTGGGGCGTACAGTGCTGATCTTATGACTTTTCTGGGTGCTTCTGAGCTCCACTGCCCCACCTGCTGTGCCCCCTCTATCTTGTGTAGGACATGGGAAGCCCAGGGCTTTCCTCTGGGGTCTCCCCAGGATTCCGCACGGGCAGCCCACATCCTTCTCCGTCTGCCAGGGCTGCTTTAGTGCCTGACCCTTGCCCTTCTTCTCCCTCCAGTGTTCGATGCCTTCCTGTGTCACAGCTTTCCACGTCACCTGCGCCTTTGACCACGGCCTGGAGATGCGGACTATATTAGCAGACAACGACGAAGTGAAGTTCAAGTCCTTTTGCCAGGAGCACAGCGACGGGGGCCCACGGAGCCAGCCGACATCTGAGCCCTTGGAGTCCAGCCAGGCTGTGGAGGACCTAGAAAAGGTGACCCTGCGCAAACAGCGGCTGCAGCAACTGGAGGAGGATTTCTATGAGCTGGTGGAGCCCACCGAGGTGGCGGAACGGCTGGACCTGGCCGAGGCCCTGGTTGACTTCATCTACCAGTACTGGAAGCTGAAGAGGAAAGCTAATGCCAACCAGCCGCTGCTGACACCCAAGACTGACGAAGTGGACAACCTCGCCCAGCAGGAGCAGGATGTCCTCTACCGCCGCCTGAAGCTCTTCACACACCTGCGGCAGGACCTGGAGAGGGTGAGTCGCCTTGGCAGGTCTGCCCGAGGGGCCTGTCCATGCCAAGGACTCAGCAAACCGTGAACTTCGCCTAACAGCCTGGCTTTGAGAGCAGCCACGTGGCTGGCGGTCAGCTGTCAGGCAGCACTGGGGTAAATGATCTTTGCTTTCTTGTCTAGAGCTTGGTTAGCCAGTCTGCGGAGTGGGGAGAGCATCTGGACAGATGCAGGGCGGGTGGCTGGCTTCGGCTTCTCCATTCCCCTTCACCCTACTTGTTGCCCAGGCGCCTGGGAGAGAGCTCACTGCCTGGATGCTGCCACCAGGTCAGAAGTACAGGGCAGGAGGGGTCACATGTCCCTGGCTGCAGCCAGGGCAGAGGGCAAGGCCACCTGCACTGCAGTCACCACCTCCCAGACAGCCCAGCCTCTGTCACATGTGGCAGGGGCACTGGGTTCAAGCACTCTGTGGCTGCTTCCAGAGTTTTCCTGAGTCTCCGCCTCCGGGTTGTCCCGTTTCATCAGCTGCTTTGCTCTCCATGTCTCCCTCGTGACCCGTGGGGCCTGACCACCTGCTTTGTGGAGCAGCCTTCGAGTCTGGCCTTTGGCCCACTTCCGTAGTCACTGTTCCAGACGAGTGACGTGAGGAAGGCCCTCCCAGCTCTGCTGAGCAGATGAAGAAACCAAAGCTCAGAGAGACCAAGTGACAGTCTTAGAGGAACTTCTCTCCTGGGGTTGGAGCTTGAGTTCGGACCGGCATTAGGCTGAGGTCAAGAGGAGCAAAGTTGGCTTCTTTTCTGTTACTTACATTTCCAGGCCAAGCACAGCCTCTCACCCGGCCCCAGGTCTCCAGCCCAGTGTCAGGGATTCAGGTGGGGCCAGGGCTGGGACACCCACAGGCGAGCTGGGCGCAGGCTCCAGGAATGAGGAGTCGGGGCTGGCTGTGAAGTCTGGCTGGCTCATCGCAGCTCAGGAAGGTCCTGTCCTGGTGCTGCTTTCCTGGCAGCACAGAAAGCAGGCTGAGTGGCCGGGGATGTAGCTCAGTGGCTTAAGCACCTGCCTGGCAAGTGAAGTCATGAGTTCGATCCCCGTACAAAAAAGAAAGCAGGCTGAGGAGTGTTCAGCCTTTTAGGCTTTGGAGAAGGGAATCAGAGACAGTGAGGAGCCAGCTCAGCCCACCTGGTACGCCAGCTGCCAGGCCTCTCTCAGCCGTGTGTCGGTGACCTAAACCAATGAAGAGCATGGAGAGTTCTGCCATCCGGAAGTCACTCTGCACACCCCCGGTGCAGTGGCCTGGCCAGCAGCAAGGCCCCACCTCCAGTTGTGGCCTGGTGCCAGCAGCTGAGAGATTCCAGCCTGTGACTGGGCAGCAGGCCAGCCGGGCCTGGATCCATCCGGAGGTGCCGGGTCGGGCTCAGGTCGAGGCCTTGGGTAGCGCAGGTCCACCGGGCTCTTCGCCTCCTGTGTTTCCATCTCCACTTACTCAAGTTTTGTTTTTCTAGTCTATAAAGTGGGGAGACTCAGACTGTCCATGGGGGTCACAGCGAGGACCTTGACTGTTGTCGCTGCTTACCCTGTAGAAGGAGGGGAGCTGAGCCTTGTGCTCCCCAAAGGACCAGCGCTTAGGCCTGGGGGTCACCGCACCTCCTTGACTGATTGGCGCCTGCCAGGGCTGGCTGAGAGCAGGCCTCGGGGCCACCGCTGGCACGGAATCTCACTTTATGGTCAGTCCTGAAAACGTGCTTTCTGATTTGTGTTACTGGGGATCGAACCCAGGTCTGTGCCACGCTGGGCCAGCGCTCTGCCAAAGGCCTGCTTTCCCAAACACTGCAGCCCTACTCTGGCAAGCAGCTTGCGGAGGGCAGGGCCACTGCAGCTTCCCAGGGTGATTCACAGCTGACAAAAAAATTACAGCACTGAACATCAGCCTTGCAAACGCCAGCCAGTGTCCCTTAGCAGCCACGCTGGTGGCCAAGTCCTGGGGGGAATGGGCTGGCTGCAGCTGTGGATCCTGCTACCAATTCATTCCGCAGCTGGCGAGACACCAGGCAGAGAGGGTAGAGGAAGGCCTTGCTTCTGCTGTGACTCCCAGAGAGACGAAGGCTTAGCCGGGGAAGTGTGCCCTGCCTTTCTCTGACAGCTGTCACTTGGTCGCTCTGCTTGCTCTGTGCCCAGTGCCTAGATCGGTGGTGGCGAATCTGTGGCACGTGTGCTGTAGTGAGCTGTGTCATTGAGAGGTATGCTGTTACTAGCCTAGACTTTGGTCTACCCTGCTGCACCTCATTCCCAGTGAAATCCCTCCTTGTCCTGGTCACCCCCTTTCTGAATCTCTGCCACCGCAGCCTGATGCTGCCGCCTAGGGCCTCAGCAGAGCCTCCCGCAGTACAAGCTACTGGGTCCGAGGGCCATCAGATCCCCGCAAGGAGCCCAGGAGAGATCCCGTAGCAGCAGGCAAATGAGCCAGCTGGCGCTGGACTTCCTAGACCCTGCCCACCTGGCTCATAGCTCTGCTGCCTCTTAGCAGGCAGCCTCCTGTCCTGTTCTTCCAGCCAGAGGGACCCAGCTTCTGGCCAGCAGAGTCTCTCTTCCTGGATGCATCCTCTGAAACCCCACCCTTTGTCATCCCCCCCCACTCACCTGCAGCTGGCTTTCATGGTCCGCCCTACATGCCCTTCGCAGGGCCACTTCCCCCAGCACTGGAATCAGTGACACCCTGTCCTGCCTTCTTAGGTGAATCCTCCCTTTACCTCCCTCCAGCGAGGGATCCTCTCCGCCATCCCCAGCTGTCCATTCCTGCTGATCCCTCCTGGTGTCTTGACTCCCTGCTTTCCTGTCCTCTCCCTCAGCCCTCTTGGCAGTAGGTGCCATCAAGATGCCCTTGGCCTTGAAATCCTCTTCCTGGGGACTCGGGTGGCATCAATGTCCTGCTTCCTTTGCTCTGTGGACAGTTGCTTCTGGGCCCCAGAAATTGTTTTCCACTCTCAAGACTGGAGGTACCAGCTTTTTTTATTGTTTTTGAGGTGCTGGGCATGGAACCCAGGGCCTCTCACAGGCTTGGCAAGTGCCCTCCCTTCCAGTGAGCTGCACCCCAGCCCCAGACTCTGCCATCCACAGCTTCCCCCAAGTCACTGAGCTCCAGAGCTGAGTCTACCTCTGAAGACCTCCAGCAATCTCCTGCCAGCCTGCCTGCCCCTTGGCCCCACCTCTAGGCTTTGTGTAAAACTTACTGATAGCAAAACACCTTCATCAAAATGTCTTTAAAAAGTAGCTATGTAGCTGGGCATAGTGGCGCACGCCTGTAATCCCAGCACTCGGGAGGCCGAGGCAGGAGGATGTTTGTGAGTTCAAGATCAGCCTGGGCTACAAAGTGAGCTCAAGGCCAGCCTGAAATGTGTCGTCTCAAAAAGACAAAAAAAAAAGTAGCTCTGTTGCTGAGATTCTCAGGAGACTACCAAGTAGTTGAAGTGGAAATAAGAGATGGGAGGAGGTCACAGTGTGACCAGAGTCCCAACTGAAGAATGTTGGGCTTATCACTGAAGCAGGTGTTCTCGTGTTCAGAGTCAGAAGCTCCAGACATTCCTGATGGCATAGTGTGGTCCTACCAGTAAAACAGATTGTGCAGATACCTCCCATAATATATTTCTAATGTCTCTCGTAACTACAACTGCGTATTATGAAACAATAAGAATAACTAATGGAGCCTAGAAAAAACTCCCGCAGCAGCTGTCATGTTTTCCCCCACATTGAGGTGCGCTGACCTATGTCCTGGATGTCTCACTGTTGAGGTCCAGGCTTGGGGCAGGAGTTCCAAGATTCCACCAGGCTGTTTCCAGTGTATACTTAAAACCCAGCCCCTGGGAAAGCACGATATCCTCTGGGCCTTTTGTAAGGATTAGTGGTGCACACTGATGCAGTGTGACCTCATTTTAACCAGTTATATCCACGGGGACCCTGTTTGTCGGAAAGTCTTGTTTTGAGGGTCCTGCAGACCACGTGTGGTGAACTGCCTTTGGCAAAGCCTGCAGAGGTGCAGGGCAGGGGAAGCTATCTGTTGGACATTTCAAGAAGATGACACAAGAGCCATGGGTCTCATCTCTCCCTGGGAGAGGTGATGGGGTGCACTGGAGTGGAGGGAGCTGGAAAGACGGAGGCCTTTTCTCCAGGACGCCTCGCTCTATCTCCAGATCTATGACATGATGGACTGGTGGAAAGATGACTTGGTCAGCAGCCCTCTGCCTTACTGGATGACGAGCCCTGGGGAGAAAGGGACCCCAGTGGTGCCTCTCAGGGCAAGGCCAGGGCCTCACACAGTGGGAGTGCATGGAGCCACAGCAGGCCAGGAGCTTGAGGGGCCCCGAGCAAAGGTCACCTTCCAGGGCTGTCTCTTAGGACCCACTGGAGGCTGGCAGGGTGATAGGTGGCCCCAGGCCTGGTATTTCCAGTGTAGGCTGGGGGTGCACACCTCACAGGAATTTTTCCAGAAAGGCCTCTGGGAGGACCGGGGTGGCTGCCAGAGAGCAAGGTGGGAAACCTCTCCTGTGTTCCCCAGGTTAGAAATCTGTGCTACATGGTGACGAGGCGCGAGAGAACCAAGCACGCCATCTGCAAGCTCCAGGAGCAGATATTCCACCTGCAGATGAAACTGATCGAGCAGGATTTGTGTCGAGGTAGGAACCTGCCCTCCTGCCGCCCGCTACCTGTGTGTAGGCTGGGCCCAAGGAGGGTGTGTTCGGGGTGCAGTGGGGTAGATGTGTGGAACCTGGGGCCACTGGCCCCTTTCTCCTGCTCCGCTGCTTACTGGGCCTAGAAGGGGAGGCCTGCCAAGGACTCCATTGTGGCGGGAATGGGTGCGCCAGATCTGCCCTCGGAGGGCCTTCTGGGTTCACTGCAGCTCAGGAGTCAGGACAAAACCCAAAGGGCTGGTGGCTCCGTGCGGCAGCCGAGGCAGGAAAGCACCTGCTCCAGAGACTGTGCGGTACCTGCGTCCTCTCCCAGACTCCGTGATGGGAATCAAGCTGAGTCAGCAGTGCTTTCCTCTGTTGTTCTTACTCGTCGGCAGTGTGTTGAACAGACCTAGACATCAAAGGCTACTGGGGCTGTTGGTATTGAGCACGGTCAGTCGCGAATAGTACCAGACACAGCTCAGGGAGTGTGCTGTGTTAGGAAGCGGGTGTTGAACCCAAAAGCAGTGTCCTGGCGTTGAGTCTCTGTGCAGCAGGAGTAGCTGGCTCGAGAGAGATTTTGAGCCCTAGGTTGAGGCTGTGCCTAGAGCGGAAAAGGGAGGAGAGTGGTGACAGAGGACCTGGTGCCGTCGCCCTTTCCTCCCTGTGGCCCATCTGCCTTGCTTCTCACCACCTGTCTTGGCTTGGGTGGGAACAAGGCTCCTCCGAGTTGAGGTGCGGGGTCAGGGCCAGGCATGCTCCCTGCGCACGTGGGCCCGGGGCAGCTGCCGGTTCTGGAGTCTGCTCTCCGAAGGGAGAGAGGAGACGGACAGAGGTCACAAGGGTGATGCCGAAGCAGCGTCTCAACACCCTCATACTTGGCTCTGGCCACGCATCTGGCTGCAGATGCTCACACGAGGCACACACAGTCAAACTGCGGGAAGACAAGGCATAGGGGTGACCTTGAGCACAGGGTCCTGGAAATGTAAAGGTTTGTGTCCCCACTTTGAGTCGGGACCTTTGTGGCTTGTGTCTGAAATGGCAGCAGCCAGCAGCTTTTTGTGGCGAGTGGGCTTAGCCTGGAGCAGGTACCCGCACTCTTGGGCAACCACGTCCCCAACACGGGCTGTAGGTCATGGACCTGTTGCTGAGGCCTGTCTGGCCTGGAAGCTAGGAGGGCGTTGCCGGAGAGAAATAGCACTGGGCTTTTGAGTTAAGCCAGGTGAAGGACAGTCCAAGGGAACAGCAGTGTGGACCTAGAGGCCCTGGCATGGATGTGACTTCAGGCAAGAAGACACCCAGAGCGAGGAACTATGAGAGGCAAGGTCCTCTGGCTGAGGGGGAGTCCAGACTGTGAGGCAAGAAGCCTGGCTCCCTGCACAGCTTGGGCCATGTGTCTCAGCCTTCTCTTAATTGTCCAGGAGGCCCTCCTGCCTCTTCCTCCTGCCTCTACCTGACAAGCTGGGGGTGCTCAGGGGTGCTCAGGGCTGCTGCACCTTCCTCTCCACCCTTCTCGTGCTCCCCTGACTTGCAGATGACAGGAAGGATATTAGGACCAGGTGTGCATCTGCTGCCTGATCTCTAAAGCAGACCGGGAAACCGAGGCAGGGTCCCGAGGCCTATGGGTGGTATGGGTCAGACTGGAGTCCAGGTCTCATGGCTCTGTGCCCTGGCTCTCACCCTCAGGGGTGGCCCTGGGCCTGGGCCCCTGCATCCCACCCCAGCTGTACCCGGGCTGACCGGGATCCTGGCGCTGCCCTTGCCGCTGCAGAGGACGAGCCCTGGCTGGCATAGGACTCTGGGGCCTCCCCTTGTCCTGACTCAGGCCCTGCCAGTCACCATCTCCCTTCTCTTGCATTCCCCACGCAGAGCAAGCTGGGAGGAGAGCAAAGGCCAAGAAGAGCGACTCCAAGAGGAAAGGCCGCGAGGCTCCCAAGGGCAGCAGCCCGGAGAAGAAGGAGAAAGTGAAGGCCGGCGCTGACTCTGTTCTGGGGCAGCTGGGTGAGCTCTCACGGCGCCTCGCTTGCAGCCCCACCCATAGAGGGCCAGCTGCAGAGACGGGGACTGTGGCCCCAGAGGGTCCTTCCTTGCCCAGGTGTACTCATGTCACATCCACAAAGGAGACAGATCAGAGCGCGCCTGGCTTCCGGAGAGGATCCCCTGCACAGGCCGGATGGAGTTCGAGCCCTGGGCGCTCCGTTTTCCCAGAGGTCCCTGGGCTGGCCTTATTCTTGGAGAGGGGGAATGGCACAAACCCTCATGTCCACCTGGCACTCTTCCTGCTATGGGCTCTTCCTCCAGCCCAGCAGACCTTTCTAGAGTTATCCAGAGGAGTGGCAGTGGGTCCTGGCTGTCCCATCAGCTGGAGCAGCCCAAAGGAGCCTCAGCTTTGGGTTTGTGACTCTCAGAATGTCATCCATACACTTCCTCCAGAACCTTTTTTGGAGAAGAGGGTGGAATCCCCTTCCAGGCCTCACTTCTAGCACAGAAGCCCAGGTCTTCTTTTGATGTCCTGTAGTGTAAAGAAGGGAACAACCTGGAGGCCCTGAACCAGCTATGGTGGCACACACCTGCAATCCCAGTACTCGGGAGGCTGAGGCAGGAGGATCGCCTCGAGTTAGGAGCCAGCCTGAGCTACATAGCAAGACCCTGTCTCAAAAAAACCAAAATAAATAAAGGCACCAACTTCTGTCTACCAAAACCTCGGAAAAGGAAGGAGGAGCCGAGGATGTAGCTCAGTGACATAAATGCCTGCCTGGCAAGTGTGAGGTTGAGTTCAATCCCCGATACAAAATTTAAAAAGATGAAAAAGAAAAGGAGGGAGGGGTCAGCTGTGCCTAAGGACCGGCAAGGACCCACCCAGATCCATCTACCCCCATTCATGTCCAGCTCCTCCTTTTCCCCAGTGCTTTGCCTTCAAGCAGGGAGGAACCGTTGGTGAAGATCCACTGCCCCCTGGTGGCTGGAGGGTTTCCCTTCCCCTGCGGCCACTTTAATGCGAAGCCCAGTCACCTTTGAATTCTTGGTAGCACTGGAACGGTTGCTCACTGCTTCATGTGTCCTCCGCTGCACAAATTCCCATGCCAGCCTGGGGGTGGGACATGCTTCTGGGGAGAAGGGGCTGTGTCGTCACCATGGGCGTTGATGGGAGGGATGGACCAAGCAAAGTGGTCTCCTCGTGCAGGAAGAAGGAGCAAGGGCCACGTGAGAGGGGTCGCACTCCTGCCAGCATCTCACCTGCGTCCTCTCTCCCCTCTGCCAGGCCTGTCCACCTCGTTCCCCATCGACGGCACCTTCTTCAACAGCTGGCTGGCGCAGTCGGTGCAGATCACAGCGGAGGACATGGCCATGAGCGAGTGGTCACTGAACAATGGGCACCGCGAGGACCCCGCCCCGGGCCTGCTGTCAGAAGAGCTGCTGCAGGACGAGGAGACGCTGCTCAGCTTCATGCGGGACCCTTCTCTGCGACCCAATGACCCCTCCCGGAAGGCCCGAGGCCGCACCCGCCTGCCTGCCAAGAAGAAACCCCCGCCCCTGCAGGATGGACCTGGCTCACGGACGACTCCCGAAAAGCCCCTCAAGAAGCCCTGGAGCCAGGATGCAGGCAGCGGCAAGGCGGGGCAAGGGCCACCGACTAGGAAGCCACCACGGCCGACGTCTTCTCACTTGCCATCCAGCCCTACAGCTGGAGACTGTCCCGTACCAGCAGCCCCTGACAGCCCCCCGCCACTGGTCCCCGAGATCCCGGACGAGGCAGCCCCAGCAGCTGCCGACTTGAATGTCCAAGTGCCTGGCGCTGTGGTGAGCCCCAAGTCCTTGGGCCAGCTCCGGCCAGCCCGTGAGAGCAAGGTCACCCGGAGATCGCCGGGTGCTGGGACAGGACCGCCTTCTGCTCTGGCCGAGAGGCCAAAGGTCAGCCTACACTTTGACGCAGAGGCTGACGGCTACTTCTCTGATGGGGAGATGAGCGACTCGGATGTAGAGGCAGAGGACAGTGGGGTGCAGCAGGATTCCCGGGAGGCGGGGGCTGAGGAGGTGGTCCGCATGGGGGTGCTGGCCTCCTAACTCACCCCTAACCCTGCCCCAGGCCCTGCCCTGGTCCCCCACAAGGCCTCAGCCCAGTCACAACTGCCATTTCCAGTCTCTGCTGAGTGTCCCAGACCCTCGTGGTTTTATTTTTAATAGAGAGTTCCGAATTCCACTCTGTTGTCTTTCCTCTGTGCTGGCCTAGGATGTTAGGATTCCTTCTGCGGCTCTGGCCACAAGGACCGTACCAGGTCCTGCGCGCCACCCCTGCGGTGACCTCTGCAGCATTGCTGGGCTTCTGGCTAGATGCAGGCAAGGTGGAGAAGAGCTCAGGACTCCCGCCCGCTGCCACTGGGCGACTTGGACTGTCGTTTGGGCATTATTTCCTGGCAGACGGGCCAGCCCGGGGCCTGTCCCACCCTGACCCCTGCTCCTCTAGGGCCCTTTGCGGGGTGGGGGTCCTGCTGCACCTCCCCTGATCCCCGAGGAAGTATAATAAGCGACACCCAGCCAGAGCCCGCTCACTGTCACAAGCACAACGAGTTAATACAAGAAAGCACTGAGGGTGCAGGGGGCCGCCCACCCTGACCAGCCCGTACCACCCCGCCACCTCTCCCTTGCTGCTCTGCCCCTGCCAGTGCCCGGCCCAGCGGCTCTGGGACGGGGTTCCCAGAATCCTTCCTGAGCTGTGCCATTTACTCAGGGGACTCCCACACAGCCAGCCACCCATGCAGGTGGAGGACTCCAAGGGAGGGCCAGTGCCCAGCAGGGGCGTGGGGCCCAGACCAGCCCCTGCCGAGAATTACTCTGGGGTCCAACTTCCTTCCCTTCTCCCTGTATCCCTCCCTTCCTTTCTTGGGGCCAGTCTTGGCTGAAGTCTGGTCACTCTCACACAGAACTGGCCTGGCCAGACCAGACCGTTTGCCTTTTCAAGTTCCTAGTCCTGCTAAGAGATGAGCTTCCTTGGTTTCCTTGTGGAAACGCCTCCTTCCAACAAGCAGTGGGATCCCGGGGCCCAGGGCAGGCCACTTCTGGCCTGCTGGGTTGAAGTTTTGCTGGATGTTCCTGTGTCCTTTTGTCCCTCAGAGCCTTAACCTCCCTCTCCCGGCCACGCCATCCCTCCCCTCCCCACCTCGAGGTTCTAGGTAGTTATTCAGAAGAGTTTCAGTGGAGTAGCCCCAGGGTGATAGCTCAGGGAACAAACTAAAAAGGAATTCCATGAAAACGTTGGGATTTTGTTGTTGTTGTTATGTTGTTTTTTTTTTTCTTGTACGAATTACACCTGGGTCACTTCCACCACTGGTAAAGCCAGAACTTCTCCAACAAGAACCTTGCAAAAGTCCAGTGAATCAGTCGAATCATTCTATGGATGCCAAAGAATACTCTGACCCTAATACAGCACAGCCTGGACCTGACAACTTGTCGCTTGGACTTTTTTTTTTTTTTTTTTTTAATGGAGTTCTTTAGCAACAAAGTACAGGAATAACCGTTCATTGCGCACACTGGCGGAGGAGAGCTCCAGGTCCTGGAGCAGGAGGAGGAGGAGGAGGCTTGGCTGCCACCATCGGTGCACGGTTCCCAGGGGCTGGCTTCCAGACTCTGGGCTGGGCCACTGTGGGACACCAATCCTGTCAACTCAGACTCCGGGGGATGCCCCGACTGAAACCAGCATGGAAAGCATCTCTCCCATGTGGTTCCCCCACCCTGTGCAGATACAAGAGCAAATAAACCCGATGGGGACCAGCTTGACCTTCATCCACCCCCAGCTCCGAAACTTATCCAAGGTACGACAGTGGTATTGTCATTGGTTTCATGTGAATTTTAGCAAAACCAGAAACAAAGATGGTGACTTCAGTTTCAAAGGATTGGACTAATCTGTCTAATCCGAGTGAGTGGACTCCACGGGAGCAGGATGCCCCGAGGGTCCTGGGCATGGGGATGGCATGAGCTACCACATAGACTTAGGCTGCCTGCCCGCCCGCCTTGGTAGTAGTGACAGTGCAGTGTCAGTGTCAGCTTCCCGACCCCAGTCTCTGTTTACTGGCTTTGGGAGACCTCCTTCCCTGTGCTTCGGGTCACCTTGGGTCGCGCCCCTCTCCCTGCTGGATTGCCTGGGCTCGACCTGCGGCCAGCAAAGGGATACGCTGAAAGAAGAACCAAACCCCGCCGGCTGGGGGTGGCGCACTGGCCAGGCTCAGGGTTCACCTGTCCGGGCGCTCACCCTGTGCCCCTGTGCCCCTGTGCCCCTCCACCCCTCCGCTGCATGCTGCGGCAGGGCTGGGCTGTGTCGGAGGAACTGGGAGAATCAGCTAGGAAGGCAGATGGGGTGGCTCTGCTCACATCTGCCTGGATTTTGGCTCTTTGTTGGCTGTTACTTGGGACCGGACTGGACTGGACTGTCCCTGGGGTCTACGTCTGGCAGAGCCCCATCTCTGTTAGGCTGGCTGGCTGGTGGCCTTGCCACTCCCAGACCGGGCCCACACATGCAGTCCTCACCAGGCATCCAACTCCACATCCAGGGCGTCCACCAGGACACAGGGAGGACAAGGCCTCCAGTCCCTGGTCCAGTCCTGCCCCGGCAGCCCACACTGTCCTTCCGGCCCACTACTGTTGCAGTGCAGAGCGCACTGCGCCCCGGAGACCAAGAAGGGTGCCTGCAGGCCGGAGGGGGCTCTGTTCCTGCCCACATCTGCGCACTCGAACTGCCCTGCCCTGGGAGGTGGAGCTGCTCTGTAACTCACCTGGCTCACATCCCACACTCATGGTCCCGGCCACCTCCCATCTCCTCCCCCTCATCATGTGACAGGATAATGTGCAAGGAAAGTATTTTTATGTATCATAAGTATATTTTGAAACAGGTGAGAAGGAAAAGAAAGGTAGAATGCTCCTTTATTTTATGAAGCGAGCGCTGACCTCGCGACAGGGCGTGAGCGTTTGCAGGGTTAGAGGCCTGGGCTTCCGGGAGAAGCCTCTGGTTTCCAGATGCGGGTGTCGGGCCGTGGCTGCGTGCATGGGTGTGCCATGCACACGCGGCACCAGCCGTCCGTGTCGGTGTCCGTGTGCGTGATGGTGGCCAGGTGCACTGTGGGAACTGCTGGGGCAATTCCTACAGGTCCAGCTGTACCTTCTAACCAACATGGGCAGCTGCTGGACTTGGCCTCTCCTTTGCTCACTGCCAGGTGTGCCCAACATCTGCCCGTGCCCAAAGCTCTGCAGAATGATCTGGATCCCTGTAGCGAGGCCATTTTCCCGTGCCCTCGGCCCGGCTGGTCACATTGGCCAAAGAGCCAGGGCTGGAGCCTGGGGCCTTTCTTTGGCTGTTCTTTAAGGCCCCTCCGGCTGCCCTTCCCCTCAGATGCACAAACCCTTTGTGCTCCGAATCACTTGGGGTGGGGGGAGGGGAGGGGATGCTATGAATGTCACAGGAGGCGACACCTTCTGTCTTTGTTTCAAAGAAAGTGATGTGCCATTTGTTAATATACAAGAGAAATATTGAAAATATATTGAAAAGAGCAATTTTAAATTATTTTTGGCTTATGTTGCAATATTTATTTTCTTGTATTAGGAAAGATTCCTTTGTAGAGAAAAAAAAATGTATTTTTCATTACCGCAAAGACCTATTTCTCCTTTTTGTACATTGTCCATGTTCATGACCCTTAATGAGCAATAGAATGTATGGTCGCCTCGGTGTGGCCAGTGCCCGCTGTGCCCTGCATGATTCTGTGTTGCCGCTGCTGCATAGCTCCCAGCCCCATCCTGTCCTGCACACTCATGGGGGCTTCCAGTCCCTGGGCCCCGCCGGGGCCTGTGTCCTAAGGAGCCCTCTGCACTCCTCGTGTGTTGGCAAACGCAGTTAATAAAGCAATGTTTTCTGTGTGGCTTGTGTTCCATTGGCTGTGTAGGGGCTCTGGGGATCCTCTGCACACACCCCATAGTGGTCTTCAAAAGAGTTCTGGGTCCCAAAGGCCCTGCCACAACCTCCCAAGGGACTGTGACTGAGCGGGCATAGTGGGCACTCAGTACATACGGGCCCACGTGTTAAAGGCTATGGTACGCTGTTCTGCTGGAACTTCACGGTGTTACCGGGGTTCAGGAAGTCTTCCCTCCAGGGAGAGGCAAAGTGCTGAGTCCCAGGCTGCGCCACACCTCCCGCCACCTGCCTGGGGTGTGGAAACACTGGGGAGGAGCCTCCGGCCTCTGTCTCTGGGTCACCGAGGTGGTTTAGTGGGGTTTGCTTTTCATTCATTATCAGCAGAGCACCTACTGTTTGCTGGGCTCTGGGAAGTGGGTGGGGAGTGAAGTGTCCACCCCTGCTCTTGGGCAGCTCACCACCCAGTAAAGACACTGCTTTAAGAAAACAGTGGTGGGGCTGGGGATTTAGCTCAGCGGCATAAGCGCCTGCCTTGCAAGCACATGGTCCTGAGTTCGATCCCTGGTACCAGTAAAAAAATTTTTAAAAAATAGAAAGCAATGGTGTCTGTTCCTTTATGCATTCATCCAGCTGATGCCTCACTGCCTGTGTGCTGGGGTCCGCTCTGCCCACAGACCTCCAGGCAAGGGCTCCTAAGCAGTCAACCGCTGCTGACACGAGGGGACTGCAGAGGAGGGAGGGGCTGAGTATCCCTGGCAGAGGCTCAGTCATCCCAGAAAGGGGCCCAAGGGAAGGGTGTGGAAGAAGTTGGCCTAGAGTATTAGTGACTTTCCATCCCTGGGACAAATGGAGTTGAAGGAGTTGAGGTTTATTGAAGCTCATGGTTTCAGAAGTTTCAGTCCATGGTAGGCTGGATCCGAGGGGGAAGCGATTGCGTGATGGAGGCAAGCTGCTTAACCCACGGAAAGCACGGGAGGAGAGCAAGCGAGCGGGAACAGCCAGTAAGAAGGATCCGCCCTCAAAGGTGCACACTCGGGGACCCACTCAGGACAGCACACTTGGCTGCGGAGCAATCACAACGCACCCACAGGGGAGCAGCACCTCACATCCAAACCCTAACACTAGGACTCCATGAATCTTTTTTGGTACCAGTGATCAAACTTGTGACCTTGTGCTTGCCCGGCAGACACTTGTACCACTGAGCTAAACCCCAAGCCCTAGACTCCATGAATCTGGCTGGGGTGATGTCTGGGCCCCAACCTAAGAGCCTCACCTCCTGGCCAGGCCCAGCTAGGTAGGGGCCCCCAGGCACCTGAGGGCAGAGGCAGCACTGTGACAAAGACAACCACACTTTGGGAAAAGAAGAAAGCCAGCAAAATGACTTTTAATGATATGATTTATTGAACCCATTGCATTGGGAATACGATCATTTAAAATGTTGGACAATCAACACAAAATAGCTCGTGTGTGTGCTGTACTGGGGTTGGAGTCCCAGGCCTCACACCATGCCAGCTGGGCCAGCCCTCCACCCCTGAGCTTCATCTCCAGCCCTTATGCTGACTTATTTTGCAGAGGTTTCATTATTTAGTGCAGGCTGGCCTCAAACTTGCAATCCTTTGTCTCGCCTTCGCAAGTGCTAGAATTATAGGCACGTGCCATCACACTGATTTAAAATAACAGTTCTGGAGGGCCATCGAGCTAAGTGTCGCAGCACCTGCCTGACAAGCGTGAGGTTCTGAGTTTGATTCCCACCAAGAAAGAAAGAAAGACCAATAAAATAACTTTTTGCCAGGTGTTGCAGTGCATACCTGTAATCATAGGAGTTGAGGCTGAGGCAGGACAATTTCGGGAGTTGGAAGCCCTCCTGATCCACAAAGTGAGACCCTGTCTCAAAAACAAAGAAATGAGGGCCAGGGATTTAGCTCAACAGCAAAGTCCCTGCCTGGCAAGTGCAAGATCATGGGTTCAATCCCTGGTACCAAAAAAATAAAAACAAAGAAATAAAGGACACAAAATAACTTTATTCAGGAGTGAGGATTGAACCCAGGGCCTTTGCAGTGAGTTACATGCCCAACCCTTTATTTTGTGAGAGTATCTATGTCACTAAATTGTCCGGACTGGACAACTCCTCCCTCTGCCTCCCAAGAGCTGGGCTTACAGGATTGAGCCACCAGGCTTGGCTTTCAGATAATCGCAACAGTCAGGGGTATAGCTCAGCAACACAGCACCTACCTAGCAAGTATGAGGGTGTGAGTTCAACTCCGAGTATCTAAAAACAAAACCAAAAACCCAACAACTTTGAATGTGATATGTTACCCTCTTTATTGATGCTAAATTTTTGCAGTCCAATGTGTATTTTGAACACACAGTGCTCACATCGGCCCCATTCCAACTGTTGAAGGCCACACACACGTGATCGGTCATTAAGAGGGGCAGGGCTGCCTAGGATTAACCCAGGCTCCCACCAAGTGGGGCTCAGACAGCCCCCGGACAGCCCTGAGGAGGCCCTGACCACCTCTACAGCAGAGGCCGAGACGCAGGCTTGGGCCCAGCTTCTTGCCTGTCCTGGTGGATGGACTGTGTGGACTTGAGAAGTTTAGAAGCCGAACCAAGTGGGCTGACCAATTTTACACCCCAGGTGGAGAGGCCCCACCAGGGTGGCTTGTCGCTGGGTACCGAGGGAAATGAGGGAGGACAGACTGGCTTCTGTTGTTCAGAAGAGCTCCAGTCTTTGCCTTCAGCTTGGATGACATCTCCTGGCTTCCAGCACAAACTCTTGGGCTTCGATCCTGGACCCTTCCGACTTCTGGTGCAGACCCCTGGCCTCCTGACAGGGACTGCCGTGAGCTCCAGACTTTGGATTGCGTCCTTCATTCAGCGCTGAGGCTGATCACGGTAAGCCGATTTATTTTTTATTTTGTATTTCTGTCTTTTTTGAGACAGGGTCTCTATGCAGTTCAGGCTGGCCTTGAGCTCACTTTGTAGCCCAGGTTGTACTGTAACTTGCAGGATCCTCCTGCCTCAGCCTCCTGAGTGCTGGGAGTAAACACGTGCACCACCACACCCGTCTTCTAAACTGAGCTTGATCTTTTAATTTCTTAGACATTTGTACATCTTATATCTGTTTCTGTAGTAAAATCTGATTCAGGCAGGCATTGATTGCACCCTTGTGGCAGAGCCCCGAGGACGCGGTACCCTTGGCCCCTTCCAGAGAGACCAAGCCAGTGCGGGTTCCCCCAGACACCCTCAGATCGGGGTGCGGTTGTTCACTGACACGAGGGAAGGGAGAGCGCCGCCCTGGAGCTCGCGAGGTCCCTTATTGGCGTCCTCTCTCACCAGGCGGGTGCGTGGCGCCACCTGCCGCCCAGCCCCGGGAGGGACAGCAGCAGGACGAGGAGCGCTGGCCTCCCGGGCTGGCCTCTGCCTGTCTGTGTCCCGAGTGGAGTCAGCGAAGGGGACGAAGTATGGGTGTCCAAGGGGACTCACAGCCAGCAGCCCTTTCTCAAACCCCGGCCTCAGCTCCCGGGGCCAGGCTTCTGAGGGTAACCCCAAGGGCCAGCTCCTCACCCTGTGGGATCCCAGCTCGTCTGACCCAGATGAAAGACCCAAGCAGAGGGACTTGAGTCTGCGTACTCTTCATTTCGGAGAGGACTGTACAGGTTAACAAAAATGCAAGCCACAGCCAGGTGGTGGCACTCGCCTGTCATCCCAGCGCCTGGGAGGCTGAGGCAGGAGGATTGCTTCGAGTTTGAGGTCAGCCTGGACTACAAAATGAGTTCAAGGCCAGCCTGAACTGCATAGCAAGACCCTGTCTGAAAAATAAAAAAGGAGGGGGGGGGAGGAGAAGAAAGAAAGAAAACAGGACACAGGTGAACAATGAATGAATTTATTTATTTTCTTTGGTGGTGCTGGGAATGGAGCACTGAGCCACTCTCCCGGGCCTGAATTCTCCTGTAGTGTACCTATGGTCCAAACAGTGGGGTGTGGAGGTGCGCCTCTGTAATCCCAGCACTTGGGAGGCGGCTGAGGCCATTTAGTAAACTGGAGCAGATCTAGACCTGACACCTGTCCTGACAGCCCAGGCCACGTGACACCTGCTGTGCCCATCCGGTCTATGCCAAGCCTCTGTGGTATTTCACTCTCCAGCTCAAGACTGAACTGCAGCTCTGGGCATCCTTGAAGGGAGCTGCTCCCCAAAACCAATTTATGGTATTCGACGTCACAACAACTCAGCAGCGAAGGAGTTTGTCTCAGTCACGTTCTTGTCACTGAGACACAATACCTGACACCCACAGCGCTAACGAGTTTATGGAGGGTTTGGTCCATGGTCAGGGGCTCTGAGGCAGGGCAGCATGGCAGAGGGCCTTGGGGAGAAGCAGCTGGTGGTGTAGCAGCGGGAAGCAGAGGAACATCAAGGCAGGAGGAGAGAGATCCATCCTTCCAGGTCGTGCCTCCAGTAACTTGGTTTTGGTTTTTTGTGAATGGACTATATATATATATATATATATATATATATATATATATTTTTTTTTTTTTTTATGTAGCGGGGATTGAACTCATGGCCGAGTGCTTGCAAGGCAGGCACTTATGCCACTGAGCTAAATCCCTGGGCCTGGTTTTGGTTTTTTGAGACAAAGTCAATCACATTTGGTAGCCCAGGCTGCCCTGGAACTGGAGGTGATCCTCCTGCCTCATCCTCCTGCCAGCTGAGATTATAGGTATGTGCTACCATGTCCCACTGTGGTCCCCCTTTGTGGTTATTAATCATGGTTGTTAACATGGCTAGGTTAAGAAATGTCTAGTGGATTAGTAAAGCATGCTTTTGGGCGTGTCTGTGGATGACTGATTGGCATGCGAGCCAGCAAACCAATAGAAAGCATCTCTGATTGTAGGTGGCCCCATCTTCTGGCCCTCCTCCTGTAAGCTACCTGGTAAACCGCCCTGCAGTTACACATATTTATATGTTGCTTCCCACTGATCCCGTTCCCCTGGAGAATCGTAACTAATGTACCCTTACCCTTGGGGTGCACTCCTAGACCCTCAGTGGGTGCCTGAAACTATGGTGGTGTGGATTCAGTTTCCTTTGTAAACCAGCTACAATGAGGGATTAACAACATCCAAGGTGAAAACAAACCATTACAACAGTATCCTCCAGTAAGAGCCATGCGGACTCAGTCTCTCCCTCTCAGAACAGAGTACCGTACACCTCCTCCTTGTGGTCCTACGAGATGCCACAGAGCTCATGGGGCGAGAGGTGAATGATGCATGGCATCTTACTGGAAACGGTTGTTGGTTTCTGGAAGTTTCAGTGTAATATTTTTGGGTCATGGTAGACTGTAGGTAACCAAAAGTGCAAAGTAAAACTGTGGATTGGCTGGGGGCTAGTGTGTGTGTGTGTGTGTGTGTGTGTGTGATAGAACTGGAATGTTACTCAGCATTAAAAAAGGAAGAGCCAGACACAGTGTTGCACATCTGTAGTTCCAGCACTCAGGAGGCTGAGGCAGGAGGATTGCTGCAAGTTCAAGGCCAGCCTGGGCTACATAATGAACTCAAGGCCAGCCTGGACAACATAGTGAGACCCTGTCTCAACCCCACTCCCCACCCCTCCCACCCCCCAAAAAAGGAAATTCTGACACATGGCTAAACCTTGAGGACACTGTGCTAAGTGAAATAATTTAGTCCCAGGACAGCAGGTCCTAAGTGATTGCATCTCTGTGTTGGGGTTCAGATGTGGGTGTCCCCTACAGCCCTGCTCAGTAAGGCTTGGTGCCAGCCTGTGGTGTTATCAGGAGAAGCTGGGTAATTTAGCAAGGCCTGGATAAACAACCAGGCAAACAGTCTAGGGATGTGTCTCAGGGAAGGAGCACTTGCCTAGTCTGGGGTGTTCGATCCCTGAGCCGAAAACAGAGAGAGGGAAAGGAAGAGGGAGAGGGAAAGGAAGGGGTCCGGGGTTGCAGGGAGGAGCAAATACGGGATATTGTTTGGTGGGTGCAGGGTAGGATCCGCAGAGGGGGTTCTGCCAACTGTTGCCCAATAATGTGATTGTGGTTGACAGTAATGAACTGTACACTTGGAAATTGCTGGATGAATTTTATCTTTCTGTGGCCATATTTTTTTTTTTTTTTTTTTTTTTGGTACCAGGAATCAAACTCAGGACCTCACACTTGCCAGGCAGGTGCTTTGCCACTGAGCTAAATCCCCCGCCATGTTTTGTTTTTTGAAGAGGGTCTTGCTAGGTAGTACAGGCTGGCCTCAAGCTCATGGTGATCCTCCTGCCTCAGCCTCCGGGAGATGATCAGTCCCTGCCGGGTGCACTGACCAGGCAGCCCGAGCCCCACACGCAGGAGTGTGGCAGGAGCCCCCGGAGGTGTTGGGGTGTTAGCGGAGGATCTGCTCACTTGCTTGCACGGCAGCATGTTTGTTTACCAGTTCTCACGGGCAGGGCCACCGTAACCCAAGGGGGACACCTGTGGCCCGGGGTCGGGGTCGGGGCCAGCCTCACCAGCTCCGGACAGCGGCTGCTGTAAACAGCCGGTGCTCATCTGCTCATCGAGGAGCCAGCTCAGGGGTGAGTGAGCCCGAGCCAGGTGCCCGGCCAGAGACACCCCGTTCTGAGCTCCCCGTCCCCCAGCTGCGGTCACCCTGTGCACCGACACCCGATAACCCAACAGCAGAGGTGAATGTTCCACCGCTCCGGACTGAATGTTGTGATCAACGCGAGACTCTGAAGAGCGGCCAGGGCTTTGCAGGGGAAACCTGAGAGCAGTGACTGAGCCCAACAAGCCTTCACCTGGGTCATTCAGAGCCGCTGCTCTGAGGCCTGCAGCGCTTGATATGCGGGGTGTGCCTGGGATCCCCCCAGACTTCCTGGCTTCATATCTGTGCTGGTTCCTCACTGAAGTCCTGGGAGGCTGAGGAGAGAGGGCTGATTCACAGGCCTGACCTCTGCCATGTCCATTGTGTGCGCCACAGGGGGCTGGGGGTGGGGGCTGTGTTCCTCAGCTTTCTCCTTGTTGGGACAAAACACCTGACACCCACGATTTAAAAGAGACGTGACAGGTATGGCGGCATATGCCTGTAAACCTAGCACTTGGGAGGCTGAGGCAGGAGGATTTCGGCAAGTTTGAGGCCCAACTTGGACTGTATCTCCAAAAATAAACAAATAAAAAAGCAAAGAAAAACAAGCTAGCAAGAAGCTTGCTGTGACTGCCACCTTCTGTTAACTGAGAAGGGTAAAGGGAGGGCTGTGAAGAGGTTTTATATTTAGACCTAAGTCCCAAAGCTAGCTTGACAGGCTGGGAATAGAGCTCAGTAGTAAAGCATGTGTCTAGCAAGCACAAGGCTCTGGTTTAAATCCTTGATTTCACAGGAAAAACAGAAAAACAAAAAGTCAGTTGGTAATCTTTATCCAAACAATTATTTTCTGCTTCACTGATTAGCAAATGATATTCCTATTATCCATATGGTATTATCATACCAATCGTTTTCCTACAGAAAAATCAACTCCAGCTTTAGAAAAACCTGAGAATTTGGTTAAAAAAAATTCAGGTCCCTGCCCTTAACTCCGTTTTTTGATTTGGGGGGGGGGGTCAGGGTCTTGCTGTACAGCCCAGGTTGGCCTCGAACTCATGGCAATCCTACTGCCTCAGCTTCCCAAGTGTGGGGGTGACAGGGGGGCACCACCATGCCCAGCTTAAACCTATTTATTGAATCACAGTAGCTGGTGGAATTTGTTTTTAAACTTCCCAGTGTATTCTGTGTATACTAAAGAACCTGGCTGTAGCGAAAACCAACTAGTTGCTCCCCCCGCCCCCCAGTTTGGTTTCCCTGTGGGCTGTTTTCAGGTGAGTCTTACAGGTGAGTTAGGTCTCTTCCGAGGAGGGAAGTTTTACTGTTCTGGTGACTTGTTTTCCATCTTTTCAAGGTGCTGAGTTGGAACCCCTGCCCTGCAGTGTGCTAACTAAGCACAGAGCGACAGCTGGCCCTTTGCTTTGTAAAGTTGATTCTGAGACCTGATCTGTTGCCCAGCAGCCCGGGCTGACCTCAGCCTGTGATCTTGCTGCGTCTTCCCTCTGAGCAGCTGGGATCACAGGAGCGCACCCCTGTGTCTGCTGTAATTCTCCAAGTCCAAGAAGCTTCTCAGGAACAAAATGAAAGTGAGAGTTAGGTGAGACTGGGCCACGCGGGCACTGGCCTAGCACGTGCAGGCGGGCGGGTTCCGTCCCCACACTGCAAACCAAACTGAACCAAGGCCCCACACAAGACCACAGACAGAACCAGACACTGGAGTCCTGCACAATCAGGTTAGCATTTTATTTTCCTCTTCCTGACACTCAAATTCAGAGAGAGTGAATGATAATAGCACATAATCAAAATAACATACAGATACAATTCAAAACATTTAACCGTCTACAATAGCTGTTCTCCATGAAGGGCACAAAGCGCACAGAAACACCTTCACAGCGATTATGCTTCACGATTGCACTTCTCTAACACTTACACTCACACTACACTCACACTGAGGGCCTAGTGCCAGCAGTGGGGCACGGAAGTGCAACCACGTAAGTTAGTGATGAACAGCTCACCCCTGACTCGCCAGCCACCCAGCTCGGTGTCCAGCGGAAGGCCTTCACCCCTCCCAGGTATGGGGGCTGCCGCACCCCACCTGGTCCTCTGCACCCGCACGCTGGTACCTCATGGGGCAGCTGCTTAGGGGGGTCCAGTTAGGAGCAGCACCAGGGAATCGCACAGAAAGCCACGTGAAGCTGGCCATTTGGACAGGAATCTTTATACCTGCTAATGCAGACACCTTATGACAACACTACAGAACTGTCACTCTTACCCCAAATATTTAAACCCAGCCCCTCACTTAGAGCACATGCTGAAGAATCCATGCGCTCCAGTACCGCTCTTCCAAAAATAATTCTGCATGACATCACTTTCCTGTTTATGTCCCAAAATCCGTTAGGGGCCAGGGGCTCCTGAAAAGAAGTTTGCTTTAGATAACCCCGCTCACTTTCCTTTGATGACTTTGGATTCTATTTTAAAGTGTGGTCAAAGTCCTAAACAATCAGGCAGTGGACTGTTAGCTATTAATGTTCTAAGTCTCGAGAACAGAAGTCAGCTGGCTCAGAGCTGCATCTTCCTAGGCTCTGTGGATTCCCTTCACACCCGGGAGCTTTTAAATCTAGGTGTGCGGTGGGAATGTTTGGGGGGAGGGCGGTACAGGATTCTAACAAAGTCCCAGTCCTTATCCCAAGAACATGGGTTTTGTTGTGGTTGTTAGGAAGCCCCAACTTAAGTTTCAAATGAAGAAAACAAATGGGCAGCAGCATCAATAGGTACTTCTGGTAATTCAGTCCTTAACTGAAACATGCTAAAAACAACACTGCTTTCTGAACAAAAGTACATACAGCAAGATCTGTTCACTGTTATCTTAATGTAAGCTTTTATTCTCTATTAATTTTGCATGCAGGAATTTATATTTGCTAATCTCTACTTTTTCATGCTTTCTTGAAGATTTTTTTGAATCAGAATCCAAATTTTTACATATATCTAGAATGACCCAAACATATCATTTTTAGCAACAGGGACTTTAAGGATGATGGCAGTGGACTCTCACCAACTTTTACTTGGCAGACATCCTTACAGACTTCAGCTGTGTGAATGATTAACAAGGCTGAAACACCACACTGAGCTTCGGAAAAAAATGTAAACTCTCCCCTAAAATGACAGCTAGAAGTAAACTGCTTTAAATGATGCAACCTGTAAAAGTGATTCTTCTTTTCATGCAGTGCTGGAGATCAAACCCAGGGCTTCACACTCACTAGGCAAGAGAAACACCGTTGAGCCCCCCACGGCCCAGGGCTAGAATCTGAATGTGGCTAATGAAATCATTTTCCAGAAGGCAGGAAACACCATTATCACAGCTGCCCATTCTATTTTAATGACTGACAAGTGGTTTATATTCTAGAAAGTGCTATGGAGAAGTGCAACCACTTGGAACTATGGAAAAGTAGACCACAGTACATTTGTATATGGCAGCAGACACACAAAACTAAACTAGATCTATACAGTTAATGTCTGAATTCACACTTCTTTGGCACTTACATGAAGACAGTAGTTCAACTATATCAATGGTTTTTTTTTTTTTTTTTTTTTTTTTTTGGTGTGTGGAGACAGGGTTTCACTATGTAGTTCAAGCTGGTTTTTAACTAACTATGGAGTCCAGGCTGGCCTCGAACTCCCAGAAGTCCATCTGCTTCAGCCTCCAAAGGCCTCAGATTACAGGCATGGGCCACCATGTCCAGCTGGTTAACAACAATGCTTTCTTTTTTTTTTTTTTTTTAAATCGGTACCGGGGATCCAACTCACGACCGCCTGTTTGCAAGGCAGGTGCTTATGCTGCTGAGCTAAATCCCCAGCCCCAACAATACTTTTTTATGAACTTTAGGAAATGTCTTACCCAATTTAAAAATGATCTCCATTCTAAAAATTCATTGAGGTAAACTGCAATCTTGTCAACTTAACCAGTTATGATCCAAAAGAATAATTAACAGCAGTCACTGAGATAGGTGTGAAGAAAAAAGCTCTTTAAAAACCAAAGTGCACTTGGAGCCAGGCATCATGGCGCACCGGGAGGCTGAGGAGGATCGGTGTGAGTTCGAGGCCAGCCTGGGTGACTTAGTGAGTTTAGGGCCAGCCTGAACTACACCTCGAGACCTTGTCTCAATAAACCAAAAACAGCGCTTGAGACCTGATATTTTTAGTTTTAGATTTTAAAACGGCTTTTGCACAGCTGATTTTTTTTTTTTTTTTTTGTCTTTTTCGTTTTTATCGGTACCAGGGATCGAACTCACGACTGCCTGCTTACAAGGCAGGCGCTTATGCCGCTGAGCTAAATCCCCAGCCCCTGCACAGCTGATTTACAGGGAGTCCACTCTTGACTTCACGCAGTAGTGCTAATAATCACATCTTACTATCTTTTGGTGCAGCATGGAGCTACGTCCCTGACATTTACCCGGGCAACACCGCAGGGCACATACCCACAGGTGCACATGCAGAGCTGCCCTCCAAGTGCCCTAACTGGCCTCCGGAGGGAGAGCTGTGTTCAGGGCGCTGTGCTCCAGCTGGGACCCTGGGAGCGGGAGAGTGGACTGCTGCTAAATGCAGTTTCATTTCTAGAGGCCAAAGAGCCTCACACCCCTGGGAGGAGGTCTCCGTCAGCTGTGGCCCATGAAAGGCTCTGTTTCTTTGATGCTGGTGTTGAGGCCAGAATGAAGGTTTTGGAGCAAGCTGCTTAACATCACAAAGCATCTTTCCCCTCCAGGGAATCCTGTAAGCTTTTTCCTTTATACCAATTTCTGACAAAACACAGTATTGCAGTGGCTCCTCTAGGAAATGCTTGTGGAGAGGCATGTCCCGGATGAGTAAGAGGGTAGCTCTCAGGAGGCTGAGCTCTGCGCAGGACGTGAAGACGAATGACTTTATCTTGGCTGGCAGATAAGCTGACCTTCCCCTTCATGCTAATGATGTTTCTAGCTATTTTCATTTAGCAGGAAGTTGAAAGTGAAAGAGACCAGCCAAACTGCTAGAACCAAACCTTAGGAATGACCTTCTCAGCTTTGCAAACCAGTTCTCTCCAGGTCACCTGCGCCTGCTTCACGGGGTGCTTCACCAACACAGACCGCGCTACCCTCACCTGCACAGTGCTTAGAGAAAGTGGTCCTTGTGATATGAAAATAATTCTCGATGAAACGGGAACAACTTCTTGGCATAATCCAACTGCAGTGGAATTAGTTAAAAAACACCTGATTTATGCTAGCCATGGTGGCACACATCTGTGATCTCAGCTACTTAGGGAGCAGAGGCTGGAGGATCACAAGTTCAAGGCCAGACTTGGCAATTTAGAGATACTCTCAAAATAAAAAAATTTTTGCCTTTTTCTTGAGACAGGGTTTCATTATGTTCAAACTGGCCTTGAACTTGAAAGGCTCCTCTCGCCTCAGCCTCCCCAGCGTTGGGATTACAGTTGTGTACCATACCTGGCTCAAGATAAAATGTAAAAAAAAAACAGGGTGGAGCCAGGTGTGGGACACACATCACACATACCTGTAATCGCAGGGGAGGCTGAGGCAGGAAGCCAGCCTGAACTACAAAGTAGCAAACCCTATCTCAAAAAAAGGGGGTGAAGGGGCTGAGCTGTGCACTAATTCAGTGGGAGAGTGCTTGCCCAGGATGTGCAAGGCCCTGGCTTTGATCCTTTGTACTGAAAAAAAAAATCAAAGACCAAAAAAGCTTGATTTATAATTAGAAGAAAATTTAAATTTAAAAGCTGGGTGTGGTTTTACATGCCTGTAATCCCAGCACTTAGGAGGCTGAAGCCGAAGGATCACTGTGATTTTGTGACCTGCCTAGGCTACATGGTAAAACCCTGTCTCAAAAAAATGAAAACAAAACAAATACATTTTTGGCACTTATTTTTCATTTTATCTTAATGAGATGGAAATTTCAGATATATGAAAAATAACAACTTCTAAAATTATAGTGCTTTTACATACCTATAATCCCAGCACTTGGGGGGATAAGGCAGGAGGATTGCTGTGAGTTCAAGTCCAGCCTGGGCTACAAAATGAAGGCCAGTTTGAACTGCACAGTGGAACCCTGCCTCAAAAAGACAGACCAAAGGATTGGGGATATAGCTCAGTGGTACAGTACCTGTCTAGCAAGCTTGAGGTTGTGAGTTCGATTCCCATACCAAAAAATGACAAAATCCCCCCCAAAACAAACAACAACAAAACAAACAAACAGGGGCTGGGGATTTAGCTTAGCGGCATAAGCACCTGCCTTGCTAGCAGGCGGTCGTGAGTTCGATCCCTGGTACCGATAAAAATGAAAAAGACCAAAAAAAAACAAACAAAAAAACAAGTTAAGTTATAGTGCTTTTTAAAAACTAAAAATTTCCCAGATATGGTGGTACATGTCTGTAACCCCACCATTTGGGAGGCTGAGGCATGAGGGTCGTACGTTCAAGGCCAAACTGGACCACATAGCAAAATCCTGTTGCAAAAGCAGAAACAATAAAAAGCTAACATTTTATTAGTAAGTGCAGCAGTGAGGCAGGCCTCAGAGTAGTGTCTGCCCAGGAAGCATTATATCCAAAAACAAGTCTTGGTGAGAGCAAGTGGGAAAAAGAAATTAGAAACAAGGATTCACTTTCTTTCTCTCAGGAAACAACACATGCCACTCCTCAGACACTCAGGACGCCACACTAAAACTGCAGGCGCTCCTATCTGCTGCTGGCCCTGGCGGGGCCCTGCGAGACTGGGGACTTCCACATGTGGCGGTCACTCCTCCCAGGGAAGCAGCACAGATGCCAAACGGGTCACCAGTGAGACCGGATCACTTCGACATGATGCACTGGGATGAAACAGCACAGCTTGCCTCTGGAGGCCAAGCCCACGAGAGCACAGGACTGGGACACAGTCTCCGGGCAGGTGACAGCAGCGCTGCTGGTTACAAATGTGTGATTCCAGGGGAACCTCGGTCCTGGCAGAAGCTGTCCCAGGGAACATGCGAGCCTTTAGGGTTATACGGGCTCCTTTCCTAACGGCCTTCTCACGTGCAGAATATTAAACATGGGGTCTTCAGAGACGCTGGCCAGATAGGACACATTCAAATGAGACGTCTGCCCAACACGGTGCCACACGTTAGAGTCTGTTTTATTGCATGATGTTTGCATAAGAAAAGTGTCACTGAAAACCGTAAGGCATCATGCAAGCATCATAATGAACTCATTATTAACTGTATGTCTAAGAGAGGTGGACAGATAATCTAAAATTTAAAAACTAGTTCCAGAAAGTACATAAAAAATTTAACATGATGAGCTTTTAAACAGGGTTTGTATTTAGTTTCACATCGTTAAGAAGTGCTTCCTCGGTACTGCTGGGAAGCTGCACTTTATAAATGGGGCCCGAGTGGTGTCAGATTATAAATTGTAAAACTATTTGCGTGGAATTAGAAACTAACAAACTTACTTGGATCAGTTTTCAATTCTCACTCAAGTAAAGTTGATGTAATTAATATTCTAAAAAACAGCTATTTTAAAACCAACAGAAGTCTATTGAATTCAAGTTCTGCACGTTGAGCAATCACCTCTCCGAGCAGGCCTGTGCCGGCGCAGGCTGGTGTTAATCAATGTACTGCGCCAACCAGCGGAAGCCTTCTCCGTAACCTTGCCTTTTGAGCACACTGCACATGAAAATCTCTAAGGGCCGGGCGTTGAGTTCTTTCAGTGATACACTGCCCTGGAAGAGAAGAAAGACATTACACTGGACCTTTATGAAGGGAAAGCCCCTGCAGTCAGGCATGGGGTGCATGCTTGTATCCTAACAGAATTACAAACTAGGCAGCAGGCTGAGGCAGGAGGATGGCAGTGATTTTTCAGCCAGCCTGGGCTAAGCTGGCCAGCCTAGACTACATAGTAAGATCCTATGTCAAGAGCCAGAAAGAAAGAAAAAGGGGTGGGGGATGCAAGGTCCATTCCCAGCAGATGAGAAATTCTATTTCAGAACAAAGGGTCATTCTGATAAAGCCATGACTCCTGGCATCAAAGTCCCCAAGACACACAAAAAGCCTCCTTTTCTCACTTTATATTAGGACGGCTTGCCCCTCAGTGGGAAAGAGGCGAGCCTGGGAGGCACACAAAAATAGTGTCTGATTTGTTGCTGTGAAGTACAGTCAGGCGTGGTGTACCTTCAGGAGGCTGAGGCAGAAAGATTATTGTGAGTTCAAGGCTATCCTGAAGTACACAGTGAGACTCTCTCTCAAAAACCAAACCCAGCCCGGTGTGGTGGTGTGCTGGTGTAATCCCAGCACTAGAGAGGCTGAGGCAGAAGAACTGCTACAAGTTCAAGGCTAGTCTGGGCTACACAATGAGTTCAAGGCCAGTTTGGGCTACATAGTGAGATGTCTCAAACAAGACAAACAAAGAAAAAGGACACACATTCTAAGTGGGTTTATGACCAGACATAGCATTTCCCAAAAAAATGTGGCGCCCACTTATTGAAAAGGCACAGAAGATGGGTATGGTCTGTATGCTAGTAGCCCTGGACTCAGGGATGCTGAGGTAGGAAGACCACAAGTTTGAGCCTAGTTTGGGCAATATTTTTTTTGAGATAGGGTCTCGCTATGTAGCCCAGCCTGGCTTCAAACTTTAGACATCCTCCTGCCTCAGCCTCTAATGTAGGGATTTAGCAATGTCTCAAAAGGGGAGGGGCTGCAAAATTTCTCTACTTGAAAGAATAGACCTGAACCAGCATTCTATTTGTAAACTATGGAGTCCTTCCATTGTTTATTTGGGCTTTTCCAATACTAATGTTCCCCTATCACTTCTTAAATAATAGCATAAATGAGTGCAAAAATAAAGTGATTTAGGGGCTGGGCATGTAGCTCAGTTGTAGAGCACAAGCCTAGCGTATGTGAAGTCCATGTTCGATCCCCACCCTCAAAAACAAAATCATCGTCTTAAAGCTGAGTATAAGTTTATGTCCAGCACAAATGTAATACTCCTATGCCCAAATTTGCATCTTCCTTATCTTAGGTAAACTGGGGGTCTAAACACAATACTGATATATTTAAATATTCAATGGTATTATTTTGTGGCCTTTTTTTTCTTTGGTACTGGGGATCAAACTCACGACGGCATACTTGCAAAGCAGGCGCTTATGCCACTGAGCTAAATCTCCAGGCCTTGTGGCCTTTGTGAGACAGACTCTCACTTGGCAGCCCAGGCAGGCCTGGAATTGCTAATGGTTCTGACTCTGCTCCAAGTGCTAAGGTTATAGGCATGTGCCACCACCTTTTATTTTGTGTTTTTAGTGGCCTGGAGATTGAATCCAGGACCTCCTGCACCACTGAGCTCCATTCCCAGCCATGGTGGCTAATTCTGAACATTTACGATTCTCAAAACTCTGAAAACTGCCAGGCATGATGGTGCACACCTGTAATCCCAGCACTCAGGAGGCTGAGCTTTCATGTAAACTACATCTCCCATCCTTTTTTGTCTTTTACTTTGAGACGGATTATTGCTAAAACCTAAATGTTGAGTTTGACCTTTAGATCCTCCTGCCTCAGCCTCCAAGAGTCCTGGGATTACAGGTATATACCAACAAACCTGGCTAAATGACAGTTTTTAGGAGGTTTTTTTCATTTAGTGTAAACACTAAGCCCTAGCCCTTTTGCTTTCTTTTCTTTTCTCTTTTTCTTTTGAAACAGGATCTTGCTGTATGTGGAGCTCAAGCTGGTCTCAAACTCACAGCAATCATGCCTCAGCCCCAAGTACTAGGATTACAGGTGTGCAGCATTACACCCAGCCCCCAGCCCTTCTTCAAGGACACTTTTTAAAATTTTGAGACAGGAGGGACTGGGGGTTTAGCTCAGCGGCATAAGCGCCTGCCTTGCAAGCGGGCAGTCGTGAGTTCGATCCCTTGTACCGATAAAAATGAAAAAGACCAAAAAAAAAAAAATTTTTTTTTGAGACAGGGTCCTTGCTCAGTTGCCCATACTGGCCTTCAATTTGTAATCCCCCTGCCTCAACCTCCCAATTAGCTGGGATTACAGCGTACACCACCACACCCATTGTTTTTCCTTTGTCCATCAGTCTGTCTCCCTTGTTACCTTTCCTGTTGTCTGACCATACAAGCCGAACACCTCTCGTAACCGCTCTTCACTGATGGCTTCAGGTCTGTCAATCTTATTCCCAAGAATCAGGATAGGCACATTAGCAATGGTCTCATCTGTCATTAGTGACTGCAAAACAAAACGAAGATGATAAACTGATTGGAAGCCATCCTAAGAGCTTACTTTGACAGGACACCCACAGTCTAGGACTGGCCTCTAACATCATGCCACACAGACTTTCTCTGGCAAACCTTCCCCACATCTTAAAATGAGCACAGGGAAACCCGAAGCCCAATTCTTATCTTCCTCAGGCTCATTCTGGAAATGCTCACTGTGCACCCCAAGCAAATCAGTGGCATATGAGCTGGGGATTTAGCTCAGTGGCTTAAGCACCTTCCTGGCAAATCAGCGGGGCAGTGCGGCCACCACCAATGTCTTGAAGCTGGTTAACCCTGGTTCCATGGCTCCTGAGCTGCGATCCAGTCAGCCCCCGGGAAGCTCAGAGCTAAGCGTAGCAGCAGCACCTGCCTGAGGGAGGCATCTGAGGGGGAAGAGAAGTGGCCCTGCCCTGGAGCAGTGCCTGGGCTCAAGCAGGAATCGGGAACTCTCTGCCCCTGCCACACAACCACAGGGCCTATCTGGAGTTTCTCACATGAATGAGCGTCCGTTTGCCAGCCCTGGGCGAAGTAGTGGTCAGGCCCGCTGCGGTCAATCATGAACCAGCTTACTCTGTGCCCCAGGTCTAGTTCTGAGCCCCTTCAGGAAGCATCCGGAAGCCCTTGAGGGCAGAGGAGAGGTCCTGAGATGTGCTCGCTCACTTCTGCATGTGGTGGCAATGCTAGTGTGCTACATGATTTCAGATTCTGGCCAGGCTGAAGGAATGGCACCTTAGGATGACCAGGACTCAAGCTCAGGTCACTCTAGAATGATGCACACATGAAACACAGGAGAAGTGACCCTGCAGAGTGAGCTCCTCCAGTCTTCCGTGTCTGTGCCACAGCTTTCTAACCATTAGGAGTGTCAAGTCCCCAACTTAACTCCCTCTGCGTTCTAAGCAGAGCCATCACTACGCAAAGCAACCGCCAGGAGTTTCACCAGAGATTACCGGAGAGCTAAACTCTGACGTCTCTACCTCCAGCCTATTTCTTTGGGCTTATCAGGTTACTTTACTATGCTTAGTTTTAATTATTTAACTTACATCAAGTTCTTCTTTTGATTCTAACAGCCTTTCATGGTCTGCACAATCCACCAGAAATACAATGCCATTGATAGCAGGAAGGTAGTTTTTCCAAACTCTTCGGGCTAACAAAAACAATCAGGAATTAGAATTTACTTGCTGGTCAAGCCTAGCAGATGGTGTGATTGAAGAGTCCATCAAGATATCAACAGTAGCTATTTTATGAGGTGTGGCAGCACATGCCTACAATCTCAGCACTTGGGTGGCTAGACAGGAGTGCCATGAGCTCAGTGATCGCCTACACTGCATAGCGAGTTCAAGGCCAGCCCGAACCACGTAGCAGGAATAAAAGAGAAAAAAAGAGAGACAGAGAGCAGCTATCCTATCCTTTAGTTAGCTGCTGTGATTTCACTATATATTCAAGTTGGTCTTTTACCCAGTGGTGCCAAGATCTTTCCAGAATGCCAAAGAAGAAATTTCAAGTTTTCTATATTGAGTGGTCAAACAGTTTATCCTTCCCCAGTTTTCTCATGTGAGGAGGAGACGTAAGCCAGGCCTGGTGGCGCATGCCTGTAATCCCAGCCAGTCTGAGCTACATAGGGATACTCTGTCTCAAAAAACAAACAAGGAGTCCTGCCCAGCATGTGTAATCCCAAAACGATGCAGGATCAAAAGCGCATGGCCAGCCTGGCCAACTTAGTGAGGCTTAGTCTTAAAGTAAAAAGCAGTAGGGCTGAGGATGTAGCTTAGGCCAAGGCTCCACATTCAATCTCCAGTACTGAAAAAAATCTACCACCAGGCCAGGAGGCATGTTATTAATTCACTGCAAGACTGCTGCTATAGAAATCTAAAGTACAAGCAGCAAAACTGTACCTATGCATATATATGTGCAGTAGCCACGGTTCTGACATTTCCAATCTGAAGCCAATGGCGAGGACAGCAGTAGTGGGTAAGGTTCTCAATGGAGACCACTTCCCAGGGGCACCCCAGAGAAACACTGGGCCCTGCAGGGCAGCAAGGGGGGCAGGGGGGGGCACTGGATTGATTTGGTTGGTGTGAAGAGAACAGGAACGGAGTGTGGGTAAAAAAGATGAGGAAAGTAAACACATCACAGAATCTGACTCTCATACTGTAAGGAATATAGTTAGCTACTGAAGGTTTTTTCAAAACCCGGACAACAGGCACTAGGTGATTTGAAGCAGAGAGAAAGGAAGCTAATTTCTACCGTAATAACTCACACTTAAACTGACCAGTACTATCATGAAAACCATCTTTGCTTTGAAAGTGTTTATCTGGGAGCAATAACCCCTAAACTCTAGGTCTACTCTGGCCTCCCTTAAATGAAATGACATTTTACACATTAGAACACAATGGCCATATTTTTATTTAGTTAAAATAAAAGATTATGAGAATAACATAGGATGTTACCTTGAACGTGTCCACCCAGATCAAAAGTTGTAAAAGTCATACCGGCAATAGTCAGTTCTTCTGAAGCTAAATAAAAACACAAAATATTTTTACAACATGAAAATCAGAAACCCACTCAGAACATACATTACATAATTTATATTTGGTATACAGTAGTTGCAAATCAAATCAATCAAATCAAGCAAAAACTAGTAAACATATTAAACACACTCCAGACCACGTGACATTCAGCTCTTTGTCTTGTCTGTTTGCTTGGTGAGACAGGGTCTCACTACGTAGTTCAGGCTGGCCTTGAAGGCCCGGTGCCCCTTTCTCAGCCTCCAGACAGCTGGGCCTACAAGCACGAGCCCTGCCCACCCCCGGCTCAATCATAACCTAACAGCGTTTCACGCAATTCTTCTTATGTGATATAGTGAAATAATTTTCTCTTATGGCTGTCATAAAAGTCTTATTTTTGGCATCAGGAATCAAACTCAGAACCTTGTGCTTGCCGGCCAGGCGCTTGTGCCACTGAGCTACATCCCGGGCCTGGGGCCTTCTTGTGATCTACAGCTAAGCTACTTTCCTAATCCCAAGACACTCTTTATGATGAAAATTGGGGGCATTTTATTCAAATTACTTTTGTTCCGCCTTTCCCTTTTGGCTCCTGAATCTGAAGTCCCTTGGGTTGCTGGCTTGTCCCACCTTAGGTTCCGTTTCTTTTGCTTTCAGCCATTTTTCTCTGCCTTTTGTACATTCCCACTGCACTGACTTGACTGGTTTTTCTTTCTGCAGCCCTGGCATGGTCTAATTTGCTGTAAACCTTCCAATAAAATTTTCATTTCAGATATTAGAGTTTTCATTAGTAGGCATCCCACTTGGTTCGGTTTGATACCTTTCTTTCTTTCCTCTTTAAGGACATGTTTTCCTTTAAGTCCTTGGGCATACATAAGGGCTGTCTTTTTAGGGCCTTTTCACCGAGCTGATTCCACAGCGTCTTTTCTCATTTTCTTATTTTGCAAAGGGTCTTGCTAAGTTGCTCTGGCTAAACCTGACAGCGTGCCTCAGCCTCCCAGAGTGCTGGAATTACAAGATGTGTGCCAGCACGCCAGGCTGGGCCTGCTGCATCTGACTTCTCTCCTGTTATGGAGCACATTTTCCTACTTTGCCTGTCCAGTGCTTTGGATTCTGTTGTATTCCTCTGAACTTTTCTCTGGCAAACAGCTGCCTGTAGATCAGTTAAGTTCTGTTGGGGCAGATCTACATAGCCTTTACTTTGCAGCTAGTTTGGTCTCATTACTAAGGTATAGTCCTTCTGGACTCTATTGAATGCCCTGTGCATCCAATCAGGATCTTCGATTCTGAGTGGTGGGAATGCAAATGCTCCCAGCCCGGGGTGAGTTCTAAGAAAGTCCTTGACTGGCTTTGTGAGCTTTACCCTGTGCATGCTCAGACTGCCAGTCTGCCCTGCAAATTTCTGAAGCCATTCTCTCACGTTTCCTCCTATACAATATTCTGCCGGACAAATCCTACTCACCTTTTCCTCCCTCATTTCTGTGCTCTGTCCCCACAACTCAGAGAGACTCCCAGGCTATGACCCCTCCCTGCATCCTGACATAGAGCTGTTACAAAGAAGAGTCTTTTTCCTGCTCCCAGGAATTAAAAGCCTGTGCTAGCTACTGCTCAGTGCTGAAGGACAGCTGTAGTAACAGTTTTATCCTGCTGCTAACAGCTAGGATGTAATTCCAGAGGCTATGACTCCTCGTGCATGGCACAAAGAGGTTTTCATAGTTATCACAAAACTTTCGCTAGTTTGAGTCTGGGTTGTTGCACTGACACACTGGGAAGAAACTCTGTGTATAATACCAAGTCAACAAAATATTTACTATGATCTCTGTTCACAGTCACTATCTATAATGAAAAGACAATGCCTGGAAATCTACTTCTGCGGTTATAAACCCTAATACATTCTGAGGTTTCCAGAAGTCCCAACCTCATTAATTAAAATGCAAAATATGATTAACATCCTAGAAAGTCCCCTGTTCCTTTCCTGTCAACTTCCACACCTGCCCCAGAAGGAACCGCGCTGACTGCTGCAAGTTAGTTTTGCCGGGTCTGGAATGAATGTCACATAAATGGTATTAGAAGCAGGTAACTTTTGTGACCAGCTTCACCATGCAGAACAATATGACAGTTTGTTTCTCCTACTTGCTGAGTAGAATTCTACTGCTTTTTTTTGATAGACACCAGAGGTATTTCTAGTTTTTACTATTATAAACAAAGCTGGTAGAAAGATGCCTGTACAGGCTTCTGCTAAATATATCTTTTCACTTTCCTGGAATAAATACCTTGGAATGGAACTGCCAGATCACAGGTAGGATATATATACTGTATCTTCTTCACACATGTTTTTAGTTGAAAATTGTACGTTGAACTCAATGTGAGCAACAGAAAAGCTGAGATGGAATCAGTTTTGTGCCACTGAATCCCTATCTCTAGCACAATATCTGACATAGGAGCTGAACAACTATTTGTTAAATAAATAAAAGAGGGCAATACCAAAAAGTAAAACAAAAACAAAAATGAACTTACACCCAACATAAGACTACTCCATAGTCTCTTCTAATCCTGTGCTTTTGCAATTTTATATACACACAATTTTGCCATAATCATTTTGTCTTTGACAGTATTGTTCTTATATCAGAATCCTATTTCTCAACACCTACTTTCTTCTCAATATCAAAAAAGGACATCAATTTTATAAAATCTTTTACCAACCTAACAGTTTTATACAAGAAATAAATACTTGGCTTTCTGGGCGCCGCCCCGCCCTCGCCCCCATTCTTTTCTCTATCTTCAGTCTCTGAATACATCCAGGCCTGGTGGTGCAAACCTATGAGTCCAGTACTCAAGAAGCTGAGGCAGGAGGATCACTGTGAGTTTAAGGCCAATCTGGGTTACACAGAGTTCAAGGTCAAGCCTGAACAATATAGCAAGATCCGCCCCCCCCCCAACAAAACAAACAACAGCAACAACAACGAAGTCTTTGAACATTTACTGAACTAAATACAGTATTATCTAAGTTTTGGTCTAGTTTTCAATTCTTTTTTCTTTTTTGTGGGAAGGGCAGTACTGGGGACTAGACCCAGGTCTTAGATTGTCCTGTCTCAGTCTCTTGAAGAGCTGGTGTTACAGGCATACATGGTGGCATTCATTATTAAAGGTACAGTGAGCTGAGGATGTAGGTCAGTATTAGAGGGATTTCCTGGCATGCAGTGGTCCCAGGCTCAATCCCCAGAGTGGCAATCAATCACTATTTTATAATTAATCTTGGGCTGATTTATCTTTATATTATATTCTACCTGCTCTTTAATCTTTTCATCAGTAAAAGTAAGGCCGCAGGTTTTATAAAGTAGACTTCTAATTCTAATAACTTTGTCATTTTTTTTTATTTTAAAGAGATTAAGACAAAAGAGGACATAACAAAGCAGATCAGATCAGAACAATGCAAGCAACACAGCATTTTACTACAAGACAATCCATAATTAACAGTAACTATCACAATGACTCTTTCTTTGAATAGTTGAGCATAACTTCATATGATAGTATCAAACATAACTAAACAGTATAAAACTATTCAAGAGAATGAAAGCATTACAGGGCTTTCAGAACCAAATAACAGAAAATGAACAATGGCTACTATATTATCTCATTTTCCATAGAAAATTTGTTTATACTATCACACATAATAATATCCGATAAGATATAACAGGGTAGAACCAAAGGAAACAGAAGAACAAAAGCATAGTAGGACTTCAGAGTAAGATAATATTAATCAGCACTGGCTATTCTAAAACTTTGTCACTTTAACTTTACTTTCTGCAATAGTACCCCATTCTACAACCTGATATACAAGATGATAAATATTAAGTAATTTATAGAACTATTATTGTTTTTCAGATAGTCTTTCTAAAAGAAAGCACAACAAATTATTCTATTGGGGCTGGAGATCTAGCTCAGCAGCATAAGTGCCTGCCTTGCAAGCAGGCAGTCGTGAGTTCAATCCCCAGTACCAATAAAAAGGAAAAAGAAAAAAAAATTATTCTATTAATTTTTGCAGTATTGGAGACTGAACTCAGCGCCTTCACACTGAGCTACTTCTCCAACCCTTTTTTTCTTCTGTCATTTGGAGATAGGATCTCAATATATTGCCCAAGCTGGCCTCCTACTTTTTGGGGTTTTTTTTTGATACCAGGGATTGAACTCATGATCTTTCGCTTGCCAGGCAGGCGCTTATGCCGCTGAGCTAAAACCCTGGCCCCCTACTTATTTTTATTTTTGTTTATTTATTTATTTTATTATTTTATTTTTTTGGTGCCGGGGATCAAACTCACGTCCTCACGTTTGCCAAGCAGGCACTTACACCGTTGAGCTAAACCCCTAACCCTCCCCTACTTATTTTTAAATAAATAAAATTTACTTATTTAATTTAAAAATATATTTTCAGGGTCGAGGATTTAGCTCAGTGGCATAAGTTCCTGCCTGGCAAGCATGAAGTTGTGAGTTCAATCCCCAGTACCAAAAAAAAGTAAAAATATATTTTTAGACCCAAATAGAATCTGGCTGTGTAGTACAGGCTTGTCTTGAACTCACTATGTAGCCCCAACTGGCCTAGAACTCATTGCAATCCTGCCTCAGTCTCCTAAATGCCAGGATTACAGGTATGTGCCACCTCGCCCAACATTTTACCTATCTATACTGTGGTGCTACAGACTGAACCCGGGCTCATGCATGTTGGCAAGCACTGTACCTCTGAGCTACATTCCTAGCCCCGCTATGACATTCATACTACCTACTGTCGAGACTGTCAGGAATAGCAAAGTAAGTGGTTAGTAAACTGACAGTAGCAGCGATTTGTAAACCGTAATCTGTCTACTGAATTAATGATTAAAAGACTATGGTTTTAAAATTTGAAAGAAATTCATGTTATGCAAACAAGATATTCATGACTATGTATCTTGTCACAATGTCTAAAATAACAACTTTATGATTCTTCTAGCTACAGAAAGGAATACTAACTCTGATAAAAAGCTCTGAGTAACATTTTAAGATCTAAATATATTCCCTGAGTCAGGCCTCTTATTTACTATACTATTTTAGGAACAGGTCAAATAATCCCATCATAAACTATCTAAAAAGCAAAACAAAAAAATTTTGGCTGCAGTATGTATTTTTGGCTGAGAAGTCATAGTTTAGAGTTCTTGGCCTTCATGGGTTTTCCCTTACAACCTAACTAATAACTGTTTGTGGAAACCCCAGAAATTTTGCAGAAACTGCAAATACCATCTGCAACTGTTTTTTTTTTTTTTTTTTTTTGCGGGAGGTTTGCAAGTAGCCAATCTGAGCCCATTATTCAGTTCTTCTTGTTGCTGATTGGCTGCTGCGCTGTAACCCACTGCAGGCAGATGTCCTGGCATTTCCTGCATTTAACAGCTCGTTGTGCCACGTGTAGCTATTTCAAGTGTTTTCAGTTTTGTTTTTCAAACTCACAACCTTGTGTTTGTCAGGCAGGATGCAGCTGAGCTATATCCCCAGCCCCAGTTCTGTTCTTAAAGCCCTAATGTTTCTAAAATGATACCCAAATGCTCTGTACAATTTAAGACTTTATTAATACAGTATTTTACTAAATTAAGTAACTCCAGGAGACATAGCATATTTAGGGTTTAAACTATAGAAACAGGCATAGGCATTTCTCTGACCATATCAGAAATTTCACTATTTGTGGGTGCTCTGGGAATGTTTGCTCTTTTTTTTAAACTTTTTATCGGTACCAGGGATCGAACTCACAACCACCTGCTTGCAAGGCAGGTGCTTATGCTGCTGAGCTAAATCCCCAGCCCTGGTGCTCTGGGAATGTAATCCCCATGAATTTTGGGATCCACTCTAGTGCCTAACTCCCAGCATCACTTTGGCTAACGAACACCGCGTAGCAGTGATCAGGTACCATGTATGGGAGACTGTTATACTTACTGGGATGCAATGTTGGGACATGTTGTCCAAGTCTGTCATCTTTTAGCATGTGTAGCAATGTTGTTTTTCCCGCATTATCCAATCCAAGAAATACCAATTTACCAGTTTTCTTATATAATCCTGGAGAGTAAGAAAATATGGTTAGCTAAAGTGATATGACACAGATTGTCCAAGTAATTTTAAATTTAGCATAAATAAGCTTGAATTTCTAAACTTATTTTCAAGTTTTTGTTTTTTCCCAACATTGGGGATGGAACCCTGGGCCTTTGCACAGAACTATACTCCAGCCCTGATTTAATTTTTAGACAGGCTCTCACTAAGTTGCCCAGGGCTTGAACTTAACGATCCTCCTGCCTCAGACTTCCAGGGTGCTGGGAATATAGGCCTTTACTGCTATGCCTGGCTTTATTTTCAGTTTTAGAAGAGTTTCGTAAAATCTGGTAAAGCCAGGCATGGTAGCACATGCCTATAATCCCAGCACTTGGGAGGCTGAGGCAAGAGAATCTCAAACTTGAGGCCAGCCTGACTACATAGTGAAACCCTGGCTCAAAAAAAAAAAAAAAAAAAAAAAAAACCAAAAAAAAAAAAAAAAAAAACCAAAAAATCTATTAATGATTTGGGATTTCAAATAATTAAAAAGCTAAATCTGACTCCACAGTAGAGTATTTGTGTTGCCAAAAGGTTGCTTGTGGTGACACCTAAGGGATGAGTATTGTGGTGGTTAATTAACCGCCCCTCGGCCTGCTGATACAGACTTGCACCGATGTTGCTGTGGGCTCCAGCTGTCGACTGGATCCTTTGGGTCTGCAGCACAGACACATTTGTTACCTTCTCCATCTGACTCTAGTAAGCACTGACTAAATACGCCATTTATGCAACATCCATAAAATACTTGATGTCATGTATGTAGGAAGCTACCCTGAAGGAAAAATTAAAGGAATTTTTTCACAGATGAAAATAAACTATGTATATTTTTTTCCTCCTATTCTTTCTTTTTTTGTGAGGGGAACCAGGGATCAGACTCATGCTCTTGCTAGGCAAGCACTTATGCCACCGAGCTAAATCCCCAGCCCTAAACTACGTATTTTAACAAAAGAAACCATAACAAAATTTTCCCAGCCAAAAGGTTAAATCGTTCATTGGGTGAATATCCCTGAACATAAGGTGACACTGTTGATCACAGAATTCCATAAAACTCAGCAGTAACAACAACAAAACGAGTATAGCTGGGTGTGGTGGCACATGCCTGTAATCCCAGCACTTGGCAGGCTGAGACAGGAGAATCACCATGAGTTACAGGCCAGCCTAGGCCACACAGTGAGTTCAAGGCCAGCCTGCACCACACAGCAAGACTTTGTCTCAAAGACAAAACAAAACACAAAAACCAAGTGTACACAAGTGTGGTGGTGTCCATTTACAATCCCAGTGCTCTGGGAGGCAGAGGCAGAAGGATTACAAGTTTGAGCAATTCAGTGACTTAGGACGCAGCGGAGGGAGGCCCTAGGTTTAGTTCCTGACATTTATATACAAAGTATGCCATACACATAAGAAATAGCAGCTCGGTACCAATAAGTTGATAAATAGGAAAAAAGGGCAACAATGACCAACTGATAGTAGACTGGCACTGAACTGCTGCAGTTGACACTGAATTTCTTCAGTAACAAGTGTTTTTTAGTGGAGACCATTTTTATTGAACATACAAAAGCAAAGTAAGCAAGCTCCCGAGGAGTAGGCATTTCCTTTGGACAGTGGTACAGCACCAGCACGCTCAGACTGCACTGCATCAGGAGTGCAGGTGCTAACCACACTTTACGTTTCTCTTGGCAGTTTTAGGATTTACCACGAGTGTTTCTTCAAACAGGTTGTGGTGGCACAATCCCAGTGCCCAGAAGGCTGAGGCAGAACGAGTTCTAGGCCAGCCTGGGCTACACAGTGAGTTTGAGACCAGCCTAGACTACATAGTGAGGCTGTCTTAAAAACAAAAACAAAGGAAGTTTTGTTTTTTGAGCTAGGTGTGGTGGTGCACACATGTGATCCCAGGACTCTGTGAAACTGAGGCAGGAGGATCACAAGGTCAAGCCCAGCCTAGGCAACTGAGATCTTGTGTTGAAATAAAAAATAAAAATTCTGGGATGTAGCTCAGTGATGCTGGGGATTGAACACAGGACCTCACAAACCCTAAACACACTCTGTGCCACTGAGTATATTCCCAGACCTGAACTTTAGATTTTGTTTTGTAGTTCTGAGGTGGGGTCTCACTAAGTCGCTGAATTGCCCAGGTTAGGTTTGAGCTTTCGATCCCCTGCCTCAGCCTCCCAGAGCACAGTGGTGGGCCACTAAAATCAGCTCACTTGCATTCTTGATTGCTGGCTTATTGGTAAAAAAGTACTGCACAAATAAGTACATGCATATAAACAGGATTAGTTGGGGTAAGAAGAGAAAACGAAAGGCCAGTGTTACCTAAAAACTGTAGCACACTGCTGAAACCACTGTAAATCCAATCAAATATGAAGGACATATCCAGATCTTATAGGGTCTGAAAAAAAGAATGCTGGATTTAGTAGAGTTGCCATTAGGCACCAATGTACATAAAACACCTGCAACATTAAATACCAACTCTCAGTAAATAATCCGACAGCAACCTTACAAACAGAGTTAAACACTGTTACCCAAGTCCTTCTACCCAAATGGTACTGTTGGATGAAAAACAAAATTCCATTAACATATCAAATAGAGCTGGCACTGTGGCCCATACCAGAATTCCACTACTCAGAAGGCTGAGGCAGGAGGATTGCAAATGTGAGGCCCTGTCTGGGCAACTCAGCAAGACGCTATCTCAAAATGATAAATAAAAAAGGTTTTAGAAGTAGTGGCATAATCCCCAGATTCAAACCTCAATACTACCAAAAAAAAAAAAAAAAAATCAAGTGGAGACTACTCTTTGCCTAGTAAAGTAGCAAAGGGAAAAAGAATTATAGCACTAAGGATTAGGAAAAACATTGTAGCCAGGTATGGTGGTGCACAGCTAGGATCCCAGCACTCTGAAGCTGAGGCAGGAAGGTTGCTGTGAATCTGAGGCCAAGCTGAACTGCAGCGACACCCTGTCTCAACAACAACAACAGCACAAATGAACCAAAAAAAAAAAGCATGTCAAGGATAGCATGGCCCTTTAAACTTTTTGGATTTGGCCCAAATTTCAGGCCTGTTACTATCTAGAAAATGAACTTTGTTGACCTCAAAGCAACACACATACAGTGTGTGTGTATTTTTAAATAGTTTTGGTGCTGGGGACTGAATCCAGAACTTCGTGTGTGGCAGCAAAGTGCTGTACCCCTCAGCTGTACCCCAGACCTTTCTTCCCTCAGGGTCTTTTATTTTCTATATTACTCCTGTTACTCAACATATGTGTTAAATACAATTCATGCTGAATCAAACTAGACTGTACTTTTCTACTATGATTTGAATTTTTAAAGTACTATATTCAGAAATATGCTTAAATTTGAAAAATTTAAAAATATGATCTAAGAAAGCCAGAAATTTATATATGGTACCAGCTGTATCTTTTTTAAATTTGTGGCCATCCTCCTGCCTCAGCCTCCCGAGTGCTGGGATTATGGGTCTGTGTAGCAACCGTGCCTGGCTATCTTTACACAAAGTCTTTGATCACCTCACTCAAGTGGGTCATCAATCCTGCCCTAGAAGGGCTCACTGAACTCAGAATCTAGAGGTGGGAGGCCAGAGTGCTAGCACATGGTGCTGACTGAGGGGGAGATGAGAGCAGGCCTGACTCCATATGAACGAGCCGTGGGGCCTGGTGATGGCCTCTTGACGCTCCTTTCCTCTTTTTGTTCTTCCAGTCAATTCCTAATTAAGTAATTAGCAAAACTATGAAGAGTTCTATATGTCAGCGTCACGAGAATGAGAAGCGAACAGCAACACACATACAGATATACACGAACGTAACACCGTGAGAGTTTCTATTTTACTCAGCCTAAAAATTACACCTTTTGAGAAAAGGTCTTGCTATGTGATTCAGGCTGGCCTTGAACTCACTATGTATCCCAGGCTGGCCTGAAACTTGCTGTGTGATCCTCTTGCCTCAGCTTCCTGAGTGCTGGGATCACAGGCTTGTGCCACTACGCCTGGCATAGCTTTCCTAGTGATTTTGCAATGCAATATGTTTTCCAAATAGAATCATAATAACCTTGGGTGCAGACAATTGAGCAGTAGAATACGTTGAGCTATTTCATTCAAATCAACACATTTCATGGCTTATATTATGTGCAAGGTCCTGAGCTAGATCTATAAGGACTACAAAGAATGATGATCAATGCAGCTCCTTCTCTCACAAAGGGTGTAATTCTAGACTGAAAAGTTAGCTCCACACTGTGATTTAACTGAAAATCATGAACACCAAGTGCTTTATCATCTGGGACGATATTAATTTACCTGTAGGGTTTCAAGATTTATACAAATACATGCACAAAAGCCCATACTGTAAATCATAAGCTCCACATTAATTTTTTAAAAGTATATAAAACAATGGGAAAAAGTATGCTGTGCTCACAGATGTACTTTTACAGTCCATATTAAAAGAGAAATAAGGCCTGCTTCTTATAGATCCATGCAAATTCCCATTTCCACGGTTTCTTTTTTTTTTTTTTCTTTTTCATTTTTATGGGTACCCGGGATCGAGCTCACGACCGCCCCCATGCAAGGCAGGTGCTTATGTCGCTGAGCTAAATCCCCAGCTCCTTATTTCCACAGTTTCAGAGGAGGCAAAAGGCGCATTTAAGGGCATTTAAGGAAGGGTTTTTGAGCGTGTTTATTTAGCTTGAGTGTAAAGATTAAGCAGGGGTTCACTAAGAAGGCTGTGAAGGCCGCAGTATTCAGAGGTGTCAAATCCAACAGGGTACAGCAAAGTTAGGCTCTGTTGTGTAACAGACTGGGCTGAGGGGGCTACAACTGAGCTGAAAATCAGCAGATGCTAATCAGCGAGGCAGAACCTGAATGCTAAATCAGATTCAATCAGGGCCCCTGCACAACGGGGTTGGGCATGGTGGTGCACACCTGTAGTCCCAGCCACTCGGGAGGCAGAGGTAGGAGGATCACTCGAGTTCATGAGTTTGAGGCCAGCCTGGCAGACATATGGAGATCCCACCCCCAGATATAAGCATAAATACAAATATGAATACGGACAAAAGAAACAATACTGAATCATTCAATTTAATCCAGCAACACAAACACAAAATCAACAGACATTTACTGAACTCCTATGAACACTATGGTCAAGAACAGGTACATTCAAGCTAGTAATGTGGTCTCCACAAGCTCATAAATTTAATGTTCCTGTGTGATTCTTGGCTGGACCCTTAATGACTTGAATGTGGATGCTACAGCAACGTCTGTATAGGTGACAATGAATGCTGTGCAAGGGGAGACCTAGGGCAGGGCCAACCCCAGCGGAAATGAAACCCATGTGTGTCAGATGCGCCGTGCACCTGTGCAGCCAGGTGGATGCGACGCAGGGATGACTGACAAAGGTATTCCAACCTGCCCGCTCCTGCAAGTGTGTGTCTACAAAGACAGGTATTCATCGGTATTAAATAGACATGGATTTTATTTTTTATGAAACCAAGGCTTGGTGTATAGTTTCATAAAATAATAAGCTATAATAAAGGGAGCTTGTTACTTATATACTAACTACCTCACCCAGCTTATATGTGGCCCAATGCAATTCCTTTTCACTTGGTGTGGCTCAGCCACACCCAAAGCCCCAACACTCATGGTCTAGAGGTTAAACCTAGGACCTTGGAGCCAGGACAGGCCCATTTACTGCCTTAAGCAATTTACTTCACTTTCCCATAAGGGTAGCCACTATCTCAGACTGCCGTGAAAATCAAATAAATTAGTATTCACAAAATGGTTTGTACATGGCATGGACTAAGCATTCAGTGCCATATGCTGCTATTTCTGCTACTGTATGGCCCACAGTATTAGGAGATATATATATATATATATATATATATATATATATATATATATGTATATCTCCACCAAAAATGTATATATACTTCAGGGAAAGAAAAATAGTACAATGTTTTCTTAACAGATGGTGTTACTCTTGTGTGGGGAACCCTAAAGGATGTCTGATGTTAACAAAAGCCACCTGCCTTAGAGAAAAACTACATAGAAGGACCCTGCCTTAAAACAGCAGGAGGAGGGGGATTTAGCTGTGCAGTACAAGCACCTGTCTGGCAAGCGGGAGGTCATGAGTTGGATCCCTGGTACACAAAACACAAAAAGCAACAACAACAAACAACCTGGCATGAAGGTGGAGCATGCCTATAATCCCAGCACTTGGGAGGCTGAGACAGAAGGATCGTTTTGAGTTTGTAACCAGACTGGGCTAAAAAGTGAGCTAAAGATCAGCCTGAATTGCATGAGACCCTGTCTTAAAACAAAACAAAATACCAAAACTAAATCAAACCAGAATTTTTCTCTTGATAGTATCTTTATGGGCAAACCAATGAAACTAGGAAGGTTAGAAGAATTAGCAGTGGCAAAATGGGAAGGAAAGATGTCATAACATAAATACAACTACATGCTAGGTGTGTGATACATGTCTGTAATTCTAGCACTGGGGAGGCTGAGGCAGGAAGATCACCATGAGCTGAAGGCCAGCCTAAACAATACGTAGAGAACCTGTCTCAAAAACAAACAAACAAAAACAATTTACAGAGAGACAGCTCTGGTGACAAAGGCTACTTTTTGACAATTTGAACAGGATGCCGGAAGCAGTCTACTGGAGAACCTAAGGCCAGTACTCAAAGCATTACCAAAGCCATCTCGATATTCATGTACCATGTGACTATCAATGAACCACATTTCTCCTGAAATATCTCTTCAGCTATTATGCAGCTCACATGAGATAGACCACACAAAGTAAGCCTGGCTAGTGTCGTTGCCAAGAGGAATGAGAGCAGAAGTTAAGAAGTGCAGCCATTGGGCTGGGGGTTTAGCTCAGCAGCATAAGCGCCTGCCTTGCAAGCAGGTAGTCATGAGTTCGATCCCTGGTACCGGTAAAAATACAAAAAAAAAAAAAAAAAAAAGAAGTGCAGCCATAGTTCAGGCACAGCTGCACGGCCCTGTGATCCTATAATGCAGGAGGCTGAGGCAGGAGGATAGTAAGCTCAAGGCCAGACTTAGCAACTTGGGAAGACCCTACTTCTAGGAAACAAAAGATCTACAGATGAAACTCCATGCTCCCTGGGTTTGATCCCTGGTATCCAAAAGGTGCAGGGGGTGGGGAATAGAATAAAAGAGTCTGAAGGAGTAGCAGGAATACAACTCCACAAGAGCAGAAACATGTACAGAAATTGTGAGAAGCAAAACTAGGGTGGGGAAGGGAACAAGCTAAGTGACTGCTATGCAGGCCGAGGTGTAACTGCACAGTACAGCACTTGCCTAGCATAACTGAGGCTCTTCAATCGAAATCCAGCGCTGCACACAACAAGCAAAATTGTTCCAGAGATC